CTTTTTGAGTGATATACGTTATAAGAAAATATTTCGGTGAGGCAAGAGCAGTACTTCTTTGGGTAGGTACTCGATGTCATTACGGTTGTACACCATACTTGCGAAGGCTCAGTAGTAGGTATAAAATACAAGACCGTAGATAGTAAGATTGGAGAAAGTCAGATGCATTGACACTGTGAAAGGACGTGTTCCTCCGGCACCCACATTCTCAACTCATGTGGTCTAACACCAACTTATTTTCATTTACACTCCCAGAAGAGCGCGCGAGTGCACCTTGCCCTCATCGAGAAGGAAGATGGTTAGCTGTGATTCGTAGACTCAGAAGACATCCAGATTGTAGGCTGCGGTGGTTTGATATCGAAAGGCCGGGTCCTTTGTGTGTCCAAGTTCTGTCTATCTGGGAGGTATACGCGCGTAACTGCACGTACAGCCACTAGAAATTGCACTCATGGGGTGAATGAATTTGTAGCGTGAAATTCAATGATCATGCCCGGTACGCGCGAAAGAGATCAAGAAGACATCAGAGCTGGTAGGTAACATGTTGTGGTACTGAGACGTTGTATCCTCTTTGAAAGAGTCAGGGAGGCAACATTTCTGTTGCAGTCTTCGCCGTGCAATACAATTCAGTCCCTCGCTATTATATACCGGTCTATTCAGGACAATATACAGGTTGAGAGTGAAAGTTGAAGAAGAGATGAGGTCTCGACTCTCTGCCAAGGTCTCCACTGACGGTAGGACCCACTCGATCATCGGACCAACCCCCATGACGGTGGTGGCATGTCATATGACCATGGGTTTAGCGTCGGGCGACTTGGGCTTTACTCTGAGTGGTTAGAATATCCCTATAGGTTCAAGTCCACGTCACAGCAGCAAATTTTTATAGTTATATAAACTAGCCTATAGTTAAGTATAAATTAGGGTAATTTAAGCAAGTAAACGCAGTTTTTATTACTATCTTTTTTAAACGTGTTCTAAACCTGTTCTTAATAATATATAGGTGTTCCTAAATACTATACTAGAGTTTAGTATAGTAGTACTAGATAATATATCTAAACTAGATAGTAATATTAGAGATAAATTTAGGTAACTATATAAAGTGCTAGAGGAGGATAGTAGTAGTAGTGTTAAGGAAGTAAGTAAAAGTAAATAGAACAAGTTTAGAATAGGTTAGTAACACGTTATAGGGGCACAATATATACCTTACTTATAGTAATAGTTAAGGACCACTACTTACACTAGCAATTATTAAGTATATAGCTATTCTCCTAGTATACCCTTAATTATATAGCTAAGGGTATAGGTATATAATACTAGTTTAGCAATATAAAGATAGCTCTTACCTAATAAGAGAAGAGGTGCTTATATAGGCTATATAGGTAACACGTTAAGAACACATTCTTAAATTATTCTAATTCTAGTAGGTATAATACTCCTACTAGTCTATCTATCTTAATAGGCCTACAACTTCACTATTCTTTAATAGCTAGCTAGCAAGCTAGTATAAATACTAATACTCTAGGGTAAAAGCGTGTAAGTATCTTAAGAACACGTTATAAACATGTTCTTATTATATTATTAATAACATATTATATAATTAGATCTAAACCTTAAAAAGTATAGTACCTAAGAAAATTCTATAAAGAGAACTATAAATAAGAAGCTATTATTATAGCCTTATTAAGCGCTTCTCTTTAAGGATTTATAAGGACTACTAGGTGTCTTATTATCCTATAATAAGGACTATAGTAAATTAGGTAGGGAGCAAAACTTAAATATATTTAAAATATGTTAATAATAAGTTAGTAAATTATAGAATAGGCTTAACTATATATTAGCTATTAGAACTATAGCCTAATATCTGCTACTAGAAAAAAACATTATTTTAGTTAGGTACCACTAGAGGTAGACTCTATATATCTATAAGGTCTTCTAACTAGGGAGATATTAAATCTTTCTAGTAGTCCTGCTTTATATTCTATAGTTAAGCTACAGTTAAGCTAGATAAAGAAGTGTGGTAGGTATATTATAACCTATTCCTAACACGTTCCTAACATGTTCTAGGCGTTAATTATCTATAAGGGCAAGGATCTCTATTTAAAATCCTGTGTAAAGTTACCTTCTAAGTAATTATACTAATAGATATAGTAGTAATACCTTTTTTTACTATTATTTCTTTTAGTATATATATATATATACCTCCTCCTCCCTTAACACTATCTAATAGTAATATTAAGGAAGTAGTAAAGGTGTTGTAGCCTATACTTACTCTATAGCTTACGTAATATAAGTTATTTGTAACCTATTATAAATATATTCCTAACTTGTTATAGCCTAGTTCCTAAACTTAACCTAGCTCTAAACCTATCTCTAACTTAAAGGTTTCTATTTTATTAAAGAAATATATATTAGCTTTGTAAATAAAGATAAAATCTTGCGTATTATAAAGCGTGAAAAGCTTCTATAGTTCCTATTTAAGAGTAGCCTTAGAGGAGTACACTATAAGTAGAGGATAAAGTATTAGGATCCTAAAACTATACGTAGTATAAGAGAACAGGTTTAGAACATGTTACTAACACGTTACTACAGGCGTACATATAGCAAATCTTTATATTAAGCTTAGGTAACTTAATTATTTGCCTTTTTAAAGAGTAGGCATTAATTCTATTAGATTAAGACACGTTCTAGATAGATATATTATATAAGAGGTTATATAGGGCATAGGCAGAGATTCTAATAGTAATCTTCTACCTATAGGAAAAGAAGCGTATATATTAAGAATAGGTTTATAACACGTTTCTAATATATTATAGTTATTACACTTAGCTAAATTATTATAGATAAGGATATAACTAAGATATATTAAGTTACTATTACTAACTTCTTTTAGAAGTGTAAAGCACTTATAAAAAGATAAGTGTTATAGAGGCATATTTACTTATAGGGATTCTATAGGACTACTATTAATATATATAATAAGCAGATAATAGGCAAGTTTTATAGCGCACTATAACATGTTTATAACGTGTTTCTAACTTGTTTCTAGGACTTAGGCGCTATCTCTAGTTAATTAATCCCTATAAGCGTAACTAGCGCTAGTAACTTTAATCTTGTATAAGATTTTGTTAAGTATATCTATAAAGAAGTATTTATAAAGTATATAAAAGAGAGCTAGATAATACTACCTCTTTATATCTAAGTAAATTACTATAGGCATTAATAGTAGAGGAATACTTTTAGCTTACTAACCTCCTCTTATATAAGTAAATATATTCTAAACCTATTCTAAACGTGTTCCTAACTTGTTCTTATATAATTAGAACACAAACCCTCTAAAGATGCCTAAAACTAGGCAATCTATAAGAAAAACCTAGTAATTACTACTAGGATTATACAATACTATAGTAAAATATTAAAAGAGGTATAGGAAAAACTAGAATCTTATTTAAATATAGCTAAGCAAGCAGGCTAGAAAGGATATAAAACTAGTAAGCATGTAAGTATTCTTAAGGCTACTTAGAAGTAAGTTTATAACCTATTCTTAACCTGTTAGAATTGTATAAGTAATATTATATAGTGCACACTAGATAGATCTATAGGATATAAAAGAGTTTAAAGCCTAAAGCAAGTTTAGAATATGCTATAACTATAGAACTCCTAATAGGCTTAAGCAAAGGTACCTTAAAAAGCTTTAGAGGGGAGAAAGTAAGTCTTACGCTAGCGTTATATATATTTGCTAATTAAAATATATTTAGAATATATTTAGAATATATCCTATAATAATAATAACACTCTAGATAATAATAAAGCAAGTCTTGCTATATCTAACTTAACTAGATATATCTTAGTCCTAATAAGAAATAAAAGAGCACGCTTAAAAGCCTAAAGCTAGAGGGCAAGTAGTAGAGTAGTATTAGAAAGAAGTTTACTAGCCCCTTTTCTATCTTCTCTACTACTAGGCTCTTCTCCTCTACTAATAGCAACCTAAAGGTATGCTTTGCAAAACACGTTTATAACATATTCCTAACTTATTATTAGTCTATAACTATAAACTTTATAATAAAAGGCTCTTCTTAGTAATTAGGCTCTAAAGGAGAGAAAAGAAAAGCTAGAGGTAGATAAGGAAGAACTTGTATAGAAAAAGGCACTATTTAAATTATAAAAGGCATAGTTTAAACTTAAGAAAGAGATAGCTACTTTTTATATAAGGTAGGGTTAGTCTATAAATATAGTAACTAGTTCCTAACTAGTTCTTAATATATTCTAGTCTATTATATAAGTATATATAAGTAGATAAATATATATTCTTTCTTCTTCTCTTTCTTCTTCTTTCTTCTTACACTCTATAAGAACTTTTTATATTTAAGAGTTTAATACTATTTTACTATCTATCTTTCCTAATATTATTAGATATAACTAGTTAATATAGTCTATAAAGATCTTTTAAAGTTAGTATATAATAGAACGCGTTAGGAACACGTTATAAACTTATTCTAATACTAAGTAGGATTTATACTAGTAATATATTAAGCTTAAGTTACTTCTATCTAATACTAGGGTATTCTCTCCTATAATATCCTACCTAAATAATAGGTGTATAGTATTTCCTAGCAAGCTTTTCTACTAGGCTATTTAGGCTAGATTAGGGGTACAGGAACTTTATAGAGTATGTATACATGCAAGTTAGAACATGTTTATAATATATTAATAACTATTTTAGTGTTGCTTCTCTAATAGAGGTAATCTTATCTACTACCTTAAGAGGTATTATCCTAAGGTTTAAATAGCCCTAGTAAACTATAGCAGAACTATAATATAAGGCATTATAGAAGCAAGGATCTTCTATAGGAGCTTAATAGTAAATACTTAAGAATATATTCTAAACACGTTAATAATATATTCTCTGCTAGTAGAGTAGACTACACTAAGTGCCTCCTCTAAGGTTTAAGAACCCTCTAAGATAGCTAGTCTATAATAAGAAGTAGTAGCTAGAGTAGAGGCTAAAGAGGAAGTAGAGAGTAAAGAAGAGGAGCAAATAGTTACTCCCCTTTACACTATAAATAATATTTAGCAAAAGTAGTAAAAAGAAGATATAAGTCTAGTCTCTTAAAATATATTTAGAATATATTAATAATATATTATAGCTAGACACCTATAAATACTAGATTCTTCTTTAATCTAAGGGACTACTAAAGCTTTATAATACCTATAAAAGTTAAAAGAAAAAGTTATATACTATTAAAGGACCCTATAAAAGTAAATAGTACTTTACTTTTAGTAGATAGAAAAAAAAAGAGAAGAGTAGAGAGTTTATTTTAGTAATTACTACTACCCCTTTAGGTTATATACTATTATATATTATTTATTAGAACCTATTCTTAATATATTCTTAACGTGTTCCTACTTGTTGCTATTATTATCTCCCTCCCCCTCTCTAGTATCTTCTCTATCCTCCCTATCCTCCCTAGGCTCTACAAAAGTATACTGCAAGTAGAACTAGGCAGTATTCTAGCAGGAATTAGTAAGGTCTACACTAGTATTAAAGTAACAGTCTTAAAATATATTAGGAATAGGTTAATAATATATTATAAATAACTTACTATAGCTAGGATAATTACAAGCGTAGATAGTATAAGGAACCTAATAACCTTAAATCCTTAGTAGGGTAGATATAGTAATAAAGTTAAGCTATAACAAGTTAGTAATGTGTTTTTAATAGGTTCTTACAGGCTATACCTTATTACTATTATAGCTACTATAAGTCTTCTTCTAAATTATATTTAGGAGGGTATTAGTATTTATAGGGGGGCCTATAGTAGCTACTAGCTAGGCTTAGAGAACTTCTATAAAACACGTTAGTAATAAGTTTTAAATATATTCTAAATAACTTATAGTAAGGAGTATTCTAGTAATTATATATAACCTTTATATAAAAGTCTATATATATTAGTATAATAAGTTAAGAATAGGTTAATAATATATTTACTCTTTACCTTATAGACCTCTATTATAGAGGGCTAGCTAGTCTTCTTAACCCTACTAACCTTATAGTAGGCTATATTAAGCCTATAATCTTTTTTAGCATAGGTATATAGAGTGCCCCTAGTACCTAGAATAGCCTAAGAATATTAGAACCTATTTAGAACATATTTAGAACCTATTCTTACTCTATATAAGGTGCCCTTATTATTAATCTTAGTATAGTAGTAGCGCTCTCTACTCTCTATCTTAACTACCCTATTAGGGCTAACTATAGGCTATACTCTAATATTATCTAGGATATAGCTAAGGGTAAGGTACTATTAATAGTGCTTCTATAACCTATTAAGAATATATTCTAAATATATTTTAATCTGCTTATATAGGATAAGAGGGATATATTAGTAATAGGCATAGTAGTAGCAGCTTGTGGTATTACTAGTATAGAATATATTTAGAATAGGTTTAGAATATATTGTAAAATCTTATAGTATAATATTTAGTTAACCTCGCTTAGCTAGCTAGTAGAGCTTGGCATAGCCTAACCCCATGCCGAATACGAGTTCACGCAGCGCTAATTCCATGGTCATATGAACTGCGCCCTCCCCCATGACGCAATCCCCACGCTCAAAGCTCCCAGGCCAGGCAGCTGCGACCGCGCCGCAGCATCCAGACATCCAACAACGACACCAACCATGAAGCCAATGATAGCAGCGCCTGCAATCGCCGCTCTGGTCTATCGGGCATATTCTCGAAAGTCACTAACACCAGTTGGCATACTGACAGCCTTTGCAACAGCGATTATACATGCTGTGCATCCGTGGAGCGTGTTCTTCGCGTTGTTGGCTGTTTTCTTTCTCGCTGGCACGGCTGTGACGAAGGTATGTTCCTCGTATTTCGCGGTTCGACATTTACAGTCATTTACACTAGGAACAGGTAAAACATGACATCAAAACTAAATTGACTCAGTCGGCGGCCGGTGCATCTGGTGGGGAAGGGTCGCGCAATCATGTTCAAGTTATTGCGAACTCTGGTATTGCCTCGGTGTTGATACTGCTGCATCTTTGGCAGGTGAAGAGGGAGGGCAGACATGATGAAGAGGGTCTGTGTTGGAATAGAGGTACAGATGTCTTGATTGTGGGTGTTGTTGCGTATGTTGGAACAGTGGTACAAGCAGGGAGTAAATGCTAACAACTGCAAGTAATTATGCTGCCGTCGCTGCGGATACCTTCTCATCCGAACTCGGTATATTATCCACCACGAAGCCACGTCTTATAACCGCACCCTGGAGAGTCGTGCCGCCTGGTACAAATGGTGGTGTCACAGTCACTGGCCTGGCTGCAGGCCTCCTCGGTTCCTTTATCCTATCGGCGACTTCGACATTACTTTTACCCTTCTGCAAAGACTGGAACTTTGTCGAAAAGACTACTTATACACTTGCACTGACGGCAGCTGGCTTCAGTGGAACCCTGTTGGATTCCCTACTGGGTGCACTTTTCCAGGCCAGCGTGGTCGACATTCATTCTGGCAAAATCGTAGAGGGAGAAGGAGGCAGGAAGGTGCTAGTGCACAGCAGTACACCATTACATCTGAGGAAAAGTGGTCAGATACGCAGCAAGATCAGCAGCTACCAGGAGGGCAAAGAGGGGATTCCAAAATCGAGTAGTGCTGATGCTACGGTGTCGGTCCAGGCCGCAGAAACCATGTTGAGGGCGGGGGGTAGCGGTAAAGGCGTGGCTGATCCACAGCACGAAAGCAGAAGGGTAGAAGTGGGAAGTGATGTTCTTGATAACAATGCTGTGAATATGCTTATGGCTGGACTTGTTAGTCTAGGGGCGATGTCGGTTGCCTGCGTGTTATGGGATGTGCCATTCAAGAGTATGGTTGGGCTCTAGGTTGGATCAAAGGAACAAGGCATTTCGCTCGAGGTGATCATCTACTTTCTGAAATCTAAAGTACTTTGTGTATGTTGGCAGACTCCCACTTTTAAGAGTGCCAAGACAACTAGCGCGCGTCACCTCGCAGCCTAGGTAAGCTCCGACTACCTATACAACAGCCACAGCACAGCTCGACATCCCACCTCCAGGACACTCACCTCCGCAAACCAGATACTCTTCGCCTCCGAGTGCCCTGGGCAGCGGATCTCATCACAAACGGTCACGATAACCTTTGAGTCCACATCGTCTTTTTCTACCATTCGCCATAGACTCTTTGGCCAACCGTTCTTCAAGATGGTAGGTCAAACCTTGTAGCAACCTCATTTGCAGGTGTGATGGAGAGGTATACAAGTACTAACAAGCAACACAGTCTCTCCGCTTCGTCCCCAACAAAGCGCACCCCACCCACACCGCTCTCGAGTCGTCAGCCCCCTCTGCGCCCGGCGTGCACGACGCTCTCCGCTCCCGCCTCGGGCAAACCTCGACAGTCAGCGCATCCTCTTCGTCCGCACCGGTTGCTCTGCAGTCGTCGCACCCGCTTGAGGCCCGTCTGACACAATGGCGCGACACACAAGACCGGTTGAAGATGGAGATGCTGAGGCGACAATTCGGCATCGCTGAGCCCGTCCGACGCGGTATGGAGCTCAAGATTGCGCAGGCGGGTGAGTGGCGGCCTGCGGCGCTGGGTGGAAGCAGTAGCGTGCACAAGGATATTCTGGAAGGAAGGGACTGTGAGATTGGGTGGGAGGATGTATTCACGGGTAAGTTGAAGATGTTATGGGGGATGTTTTGGGGCAAGGAGGGATGCTAACGAGATGCGGATAGGCAACGAGCTGCGCGAGGTTCCCGACTTCCACACTGAGATTGAGCACAAGATGAAGATGAACTGGTAGAGAGGGTTGGCTGGTGACGATTAGATGATGCCCATGGTGCAACGAGGGATGCTTGGAATCGTCTTGCATCATGGGGCAATGGGGTTAGGCTAGCATGATGAATGAATCCCAAGTATATGGAAAGAGAAGAGGGTTAACCTCAGCACGTATGTATCAATGCATCATAAAATCTCTCATGCTCGTCTGGGGCTTGTGTGCGTGCAGCGTGCCCCGCTCCGAGCCTGTAGATTGGAATAGGAGGTATATGGTTTCGCAGAGACAATGGCGATAAAAGAGTACAGATGTGAAGTAACTGGATAGATAGATGGTGGAGGGACTGTAATTTGCCGCACCATGTTGGGATGCACTGATAGAGTACAGACAGACAGACAGACAGACCACAGCTGCAGGGGGAACAGCCGGGCCCCATACCATGTGCTCCCACATACTGGGTTTAGCATGTCGGGTGGGGGCCAGACAAGCGTGGGCCAGTGAAAGGACGGCGGCGGATCATTGTTGCCGGGTCTTTGCAGATTGCGGAGAAAAGGACAAGGCGGCCAACTTCGCAACGACTCGCACTTGGCCTGGCCTGGCTGGCGCACCGGGTTAGCCCTCGCCCATGATCTAAATCGCCGCATTGCCCAACCCAGCAACTGCCCGACTGGTCAGCCACCTGAGGCTCTTGACAAGACCTCGACTAGTAAGTACTCTACCTATCACCTTTCACCTTTGACCCTCACCCTCACCCTCACCCTCACCCTCACCCTCACCCTCACCCTCACCCTCACCCTCACCCTCACCCTCTCCATCCACCCCTCACTTCACCCTCGCCATCCACCACTCACTTCACCCTCGCCATCCACCACTCACTTCACCCTCGCCATCCACCACTCACTTCGCCCGTTCACCGTCCACTGTTCGCTGTTCAGCTCTCAGGCTTTCAGGGGGGAAAGAAAGTCCAGCACACAGTAGAGACCGCCCGACACATTCACTGCACTCACCTCGCGCCTGCCCTTTGGTCTGCCCTCGCCCGAAAAACGTGCAATTGCTTCCTTCTCACACAGCAGCACGGCGTCGTCGCACCTAGTCTCGGCCGGCCAGCCATCATGGCCTCCTCGACGACCACCCATCAGCCTTCCACGGCGCCCCAGAGCCCTCCACAACACAGCAACACGTCGACGTCGCGGCCGTCGAGCACTTCAGACGCCTTGTCGTCTAGCCCCGTAGAGATGCGAACTCTCCCATCCTCGTCCACAACACCGCCACCCGCAAACAACACTGCGCAATCCCCAGACACGCCCATTACTACCCAAATCGCCGCTACCAACCCACATATTGACGCCATGGAGCCCTCAGAAGCCGCGTCACCCGCCTCGCCCACCGCCGCGAAGCCTGCGCCGCCCACTGACCTCAGCCGCTCGGAGACGGAAGCCATAGGACCGTCGACGGATACGCCTGCGCTCGACCCAGACAATTCAAATGGGCCGACGCTGGTCATTATGCTGCTGCTCACCACGGGTGCACGACATCCCTACAAGATTGACGAAAAGTATCTCAAAAAGCGCAATGTCACCGTTGAGGCCATGGACCCCTATAACATCAGTGTATATACTTTGAAGGAGCTCATCTGGCGCGATTGGCGGGAAGGTTTGTCACCACTTTCTTTCCATTCTTGATTTTACTTTGGTCACGTGCAGGCGAGCACAGGGTTAACGCAGGTTCCCCCATTTCTTCCCGTCGCATGCGCAATGCACGCAAAGTGTCGCATGACGTTCACCATGTCTGCTGCCTTTGCCATATGCGGCAACATCTCCACACCCAGTCATGGTACCATGTCTGCTGCTGTACATGATTGCTAACCTCAGTCCACCATAGAATGGGAAACCCGACCAACATCCCCAAGTTCAATACGACTGATCCATTTCGGCCGCATGCTCGACGACAAATCGCCCCTCAAAGGTACGTTGTCTCTTTGCGGACGAACGGTCTTCACCGAGTCCAAGGCGCTTGGCATGGCTTGTTTCAATTACTGCTCATGTCCTCATTGGCCACCTCGGCCTTGTCCGCGGACGTCCAGACCACCCCTACAACCGCTTCCATCAAGCATCACCCTTACAGACCCGAACCAGACTAATACGCCCGAAAATAGAATGCCGTTTCCAAACCGACACCCCCAACGTCGTGCACATGACGGTCAAGCCGCAAGAAGTCGTCGACGACGAGGAAAACGCAAAGTCGGGCAAGGGGCCGAGTCGGAGAGATGGCGAGGATGAACCTACGGCGGGCTGTCGGTGCACCATTTTATAAAAGGCAGAGGAAGGGGAAGAGGAAGAGGGTGAGGATGAAGGAGAGGAAGGAATTAAAGATTATCGTCACCAAGCCTCTTGTTACATGAGCTACTCCACCCCCCATCCCTCTTCCTCTCACTGTTCTCACATGCATGTCCCGGCTTGTCGAGACGCCGCATGTACATGCCCCTCTGACTTCCCCATGCCTACAGTCCGCACCATGCCCTCCCGACCCCATTAAACCAGACACATGCTCACGTCCAGCCGGAAGCCTTGTATGTACCACACCACACCATCAAGATTTCTCTCCATTTTCAAGCTCGGCGGGGGTGAGGTGGTCGTGATGGGATGGGTGTGTGTGGCGAGGGAGGGCGGGGTTGGAGAGGAGAGGAAGGGGTTGGTATGGGGTGGTGCGGTATGGTGCGGTATGGTGCGGTATGGTGCGGTATGGTGCGGTATGGTGCGGTATGGTGCGGTATGGTGCGGTATGGTATGGTATGCTGTAGTATAATATAGGAGGGGAAAGAGGAAGCAGATGGAATGGTGGCAAATAGGGATTTACGTACATACCCAAATTCAATTTTACATGTCCTGTTGGTGCCTATGTGTTTGGTGTGTTGTATGTATATGTGCAAGTGTTTATCCTCCTTCTCCCTGTAAATCTTACCGTATTCCTCTGCCCGGAGGTGGTGGGGTCGGAGCAGACTGGGGGTGGGAGTAGAGATAAGGGGGAGGGAGGTGGATGGCACACGCTGTGCTGTGCTGTGCTGTGCTTTGTATAATTTTCCAAGTGGGTATTGGGGTTGCTATTTGGTATTTGGGTATTTGCCATCTACCATCTACTACCTGCCCTTCCCATCCCATCCCCCCTTGCCACTCCCACTGCCCCCCCCCCTTCCTATTCGCATCCCCTCACACTCCCCTCTCCCCCAGCCCTATCAATCCCACACCCTATACCCGACTCACACTTTCACCACGACTGCCCCCCAAACGAACAGAGATGAGCAGAGACGTGTTTGTATATGATATAATCTGACGAGAAAAAAGTGCGGGATGGATGATATGAATGGAAAGGAAGGAAAGCGAAGGAAAGCGAAGGAAAGCGAAGGAAAGCGAAGGAAAGCGAAGGAAAGGAAGGAAAGGAAGGAAAGGAAGGAAAGGAAGGAAAGGAAGGAAAGGAAGGAAAGGAAGGAAAGGAAGGAAAGGAAGGAAAGGAAGGAAAGGAAGGAAAGGAAAGGAAAGGAAAGGAAAGGGAATACATCCGTGTCGGTTGATACATCTAAATGCATAAATGACAATTGGATTTATGCCTTACGATGGCGACGTTTGGAGTAGAGGTCTGGCATGGGCGTTGATTTGAGACGGGAAGAGGGGTGTGATGTGTGGTCTGGTCTGACATGTCCAACGCCCACATCAACGCCCATAACCACGACCAAACCCAAATCCACCCTACGCGCCCAGCCCCCCATCCAGCCCCCAACCCGAGCACGCAAAATCGCGCCAAAGTGCAAAAACGCCAAAGACCCCGTGAACCCGCAAGATCCCAGCAAACATTGGACGCAAGAGGAGTGAGTTTGTAGTGACTAGATGCCCCGGGACCTGTGTACAATGTCGACATGGTCATTGATATGGATAGGCCGAGGAGTTGTGATATTGTGTCTCAGCTGCATCCGTGAACTCGAGATCTTCTTCTTCAGCAACAGCGTCGACTTCTCCTTCTCCTCCAGCAACACCGTCTTCCTCAGCCCCACCCCGCGGCTCAGTAGGAACATCAAACCACGTCAAGACGCCCTTGCAGCCAATCCGATAATACGCATTCAACCGACTGCGCTGCTCCTCTTCCAGTCTGGGATTTAATTCCAGCGCTCGTCTCTTGACCTCGTGTGCACCAAGCCTGATGCCTTCGTCCCATGTGGTAGTAGCCGCGGTGTTGCAATCTACGCCAGAATTGGTGGCGTCGGGGGTAAGGTTCGACGTGGAATGGCCTCGTGCAGTGTTCTTTGGAAGCGTCTTCTTTTTGCCCCAGCGCTGGCGCCATGTCATGGTGATCCAGTCAGAGGTCGAGTCATCGACCGGCACGTCTTGGACGAAGCGCAGGCTGATGCCTAGACCGGCTGCTACCATCGGGAACCAAGAGAGGCTTGGATATATCGTGAAGAGGTCGGCGTAGGGAATGGGGATGGTGAGGAGACTGGGATTTGCAGAGGTTGTTGGTGGACCAGGCGGAGGTTCTTGGGAAGGACCAGCAGAAGTAAAAGGAGCCGCAGTACACAACTTCCCCAAACAAATCAAAACATTGAGATCCGCCAGACCGCCGACCTGATATTGCGGATGTTGGGTCAGCGAACGATGCGACTCCCCCACAAGTTCAGCAATGGGTTTCGGAGCCGGCACAGCAAGCCCTTTACCCTTACCCTTGCCATCCCACACCGTGGCCGTCATGCCCGTTCCCGTGCTCTGGGCTTCCCTGCGCAATGCTGCTTCGTACATAGCCTTTTGTTTGAGGAAACTAGACAGACCGCGCAGCGTCTCCGGCGCACGCTTCTTTAGCCGGTGGACAATGTGGAATTGCACTTGGCGCACCAGGTGAAAGTAGCCGAGGTGGGCCAGACGATCAAAGTACGACGACGTGTCTTTGCCAATGAAGAAGACGTTGATGGCGTAGAAGACGGGCAGGGACTCGTCGCGAATGGCTTTGGAGACTTGGGTGACGCCTAGCAAGGAGTGGACGGCGTTGTGGCGGTCGGGTTGGTTGAGGTCGTGGAACCTGGGAGAGCCGTAGTGAGCCTGGGTGCTGTGGTTGAAGTCGCAGAGATGCGGAAGGATGGGGTGAGGGGCCGATAAAGCGAATTCGTAGATTTTCTCGCGGATTTCGCAGGGAAGGCGGATGAAGGGGTGGAATGTAGTCAGGGGCGTCGTGACTTCCTCGTTGGAACCTGGGTCCGAATCATCATCATCGCCGTCGTCGTCGTCGTCGTCGTCTCTGTGGGGCCTGGTAGGGCGCTCGTCTTCGTCGTACGAACGCCTTGGAGGTGGATAGTAGTCGTCTCCAACTGCCGAATCGGTCGGTGTTGGTTCTCGACGATTACGATCGTCATCATCATCAGCACCACTTGGACGCGACGATGCATTCGAGGAATAAAACTGCAGTGGCGGACTAGATTCGACGCGACGAGTGATGCCGTATTTGTCCTTGGTCAAGATATATTTTACGGTCGTGTGATGACGGGTCGGCTGCCCCGTGGGCATTGCTTCTCGATCAATGCGTCGTGCTTCATGGCCTGGAATGCGGTCTTCCTCTTGAAAGTGCTGTACAATATTTGGCACAGCGTGTGAAAGTGTGGCCTGCGTTGGAGGTGGAGTAAGCCAGTCCCTCAGTGTCCTCTGAGAACTTCCACTGCTCAATTTGGCAGGAGCCTCTATAAACGCCGACGAGGCATGGTACGATGATGGGGGTGAGGGCATTGGAGTCAGTGGAAAGGACGATGCGTTGCGGCCCCAAATGACATCTAGGCCATATGTGCATCGAGCCTTACGATCCTTGACAGATGCATGCCCCAGTTCATCAGAGCCTTCTTCGCTGTAGGTGTCGTCGAACGCATCCTTGTCTCGCAAAGATAACGAGGAAGCTGGTGCAATGTTATCACCCGTCTGTACAACTGTGGGACCAGAACTACCCTTACCCGTAGCCAGAATGGAAGCAGTAGAAGCGTCGTCTTCCGTCTGCACATTACCTCCTTCAGCATTTCCTTTACCCATAGCCTCTAGACTGAAGCGCGAGCGCAATCGTCTCGCAGGCCCATCCAAATCATCAAATTCGCTGCCGCCGCCATCGCCGCCTTGATCCTCAGAAGCCCTGCGTCGACGAGGCATATCTGACGTGTGTGTGTTGTAAAAGGGGGAGTGAGTTAGTTCACAAAGTATTGAAGATATGTGCTCGTCTTTCGAGATGGTGAGCGATGAACGTGAAAGGTGAAAGGGCTATTCGAGTACCCTAATATAATGATTTTAACGACGCTACGTAGGGTGCGTGTGTGCGCGCTTGCGAAGTTGACCATACGTGAGAAGCTTTGAATTAGTGGTACGGTAGCGGGGGCTGCGGGTTATCATATGGTCAGAGGACAGTTGAGGATGGTGACGAGGCGCAGTAACCAGTCAGGCAGCGTATACATTGCAGGCACTTTCTGCTTCACGCCGAGAAATACGCTAGGATGCGTTAGTAAGTGCGGTATGCGATGTATTGCAGCTTGGACTGACTACCTACACAAGCGCAAATGAGATCCAAAATGATATCTACTGGGGCGGAAAACAGGAAAAGACCACGTGCATAGCAAAGTACCTCGTCCATTACCACCTCTTTTCATCGTCACTGAAATCTCGACCCTGTCGCTCCCTCTCTATTCTTGCATCAAACTCCTGCTGGGCTTGCTCCTTTTCTCTCTTCCTCTCCTCGTCACCTTCAACAAAGGTATAAGAGTCACCTAGAGTGGATCCCTCTCTTCGCTCCTTACGTGCATGCTCCGGGCGACGTGGTTGCGGCTCTACTCTTTGACCCGGAATGGGTGCCTCGCCGCGACGAAGACGGTCCCAAGTCGATTCACCCGGTCTGCCCTGTGGTGGAGACCGAGATGGAGATTGAGACTGAGCTTGAGACTGAGCGCTGTACACTTCATCCTGGAAGAGGCCACCAGTGGGAGATGCATCATCGTCGAATGGTAGTGAAGATGTTGGCGACTGGCGGTTGGCCTCTGGCCGGCGATCCCGATTATCCATCGATGAAGGATGCTGCTGTGGCGACGGCGCTGGCTGTGATGCGTCGTTGGAGTAAGTCTCCCATGACTCGGTCACGGGGCTTTGAGAGCCCCAGGCCTCATTTCCAGCTGCTGGATTCATGTCGTCTACTGGGTCTTCATTCTTCGCAACAGGCAGCCTGTTGCGTGGGCGCTGTTCTACTGCCTGCTCATACTGCCTTGTCCGCTGCGCAAACTCTCTGTCCTGCTCTGCTTTCGATCTTGGGTCGGCAGCCCTGACATCTTTGCCGAATTGCTCCAGCTTAGGATCTTTGCTCGTATTGACTGCGGCCACCGGTTGGGCAATCGCTTGGCCAATGATACTGCCCAAATGTGAAGAAACCGTAGCATACATCAAGAATCGCCACGAATGTCTCGCATACATAGCCAGCGGCCCCCTCACGATGCCAAACTTATTCGGTTCAATACTCTCAAGCTTGGGTTTGTAGAAAGGGTAGCGAAAGCTATCCGCGGTGCTCCAACATCTATACGTTCCTGCCGCTAAGCCTGCAGCTGCGAAATAGCTCTTGGTTTGCTCCAGCTTGTAGATATGGAAGGCGAAGGCTTGCACTTCGTACGGTTCCAGCACCCGATTGATCCTCTTCTCTGCAAACTGGATCGTCTGCTCTGTTTTGAAGCGTACCGAGCCAGCAGTGAAGCCCATCATCGGGCCTAGAAGTGGAATTGGTTGCGGCAACGAAGTTGCATCAATTCGCTCGCCTGACCGCCGCGACGCGGATGCATAGGGATCGCTGGAGGAGGGGTCGGGATTGTCATCAAAGTTGTCTGGCGTGCTGTTGTTGACATCTTCGAGTACCATGGTAGCGTATGGGCCCAAGCTATCCGCGTGGCTGGGAAGCTCAGGTGTGTCAATGGGAGGTGTCGTGTAGATGGGAAGCCGGGGAGCTGAGGTCTAGAAGTGCGAGATCACCAGTAAGAGAGCTTAAGCGATGACGGCATTCAATCTACTTGATCGGCCAGGGTCGTGGCCAGAGCGCCAACGACAGGTAGCCACAGTCCCATGTCCGCCATAAACTACATTATGATTCAATCCACGCTTTCAACATCGTTATTGAAGACTGATGATAATTGCTAGCCAAAATGACCATGCGGTAGAAAGTCATCCTTTCGTATGTGTCACATCACCAGGCTGGCATTGCATTGCACACATTAAATTGACTCACATTCCACCCTCAATCTAGCCCTCATTCATGTATATCCCAAACATGCATACACATGAAGCCAGCCCCAACCTAATCTAGAGAGGAGATGGTATAATCCATGGGTATTGTACAGTCGAGCCAAACAGAAGACGACCGCCGCAGATGCAATACCCAAGTAGGAAAACACCATGCTGCCGAATATGTAATTACCATGACTGCAGAGTCCACCAGCGCCCGCGCAATCGCAATGAACACCATCGCTTCGCTGGCTAAGGAACCCGTGCTTGAAACGCCGTCGCTGCAAAAGGAAAAGCGACCGAAAACTGAAATAGCGAAGAATCCATCGAGCCGCATTGTCGAGGGAAGTAGAGTCCTCGATAGGCAGGGGCGGATTTAAATCTTCTTTTGAATCTCGGCCGTCACATGAAAGATGAAAGTTGAAAAAAGGTATAGACATCTACACCAAGACGAAAAAATCGGAAAAAGGAAAATAAAAATGTACGCTTACGCAACAAATTCGGCTGGTACAGACACCCTGCCACCTCCGACAAGTTCAAGAATCTTGCCGGCGACAGCCGCAGGGTAACCTCGTGAAAGGCCCTCGTCGACAACAGACATGGCGGCAGCGCGATCCTCAACAGCCATGTACGCACGTGTCATGGCCTCGTAGGTGCTGGGCTCGCGCTTACTCTCAGGGACAGACTCATAGATGGCTTTCGCCTTCTGGATGTCATGAGCAAGAGCCCAACCATGAATGAGCGAGTTGGCAATGTAAGGAGTCATCTCGACATTGCGGGCGCGCATGTCCTGGAGAACGACTTCGGTGTCTGCGATTTGGTGGTTGGCGACCATGGCTTCGAATAGCGCCTGGTAGAGGCAGGCCTGAGGACGGATCCGGGTGTCGGCAAGAACAGTGTCGAAGAGGACACGAGCACCTTCCATGTCGTGCATAACACAGCCCTTGGCATGAATAAGGGAAGAGTAGTGAACAGCCTCGGGTACGGCACCCGCGTTGCGGACCTGCTCCAAGACCTTCTCGGCTGATTCCATGTCGACGGGCTCGAGAGTGGCGTGGGTGTCAATCAGAAGTTTGTAGGTGTGCGTGGTGGGCTCAATACGCTTCGCACGCATGCGTTCGTAGTAGCTGAGAACCTTGCTACGGTCGCGCTTGGTCGTGAGGAAGAACTGCATCATGCTGTGGTAAGGCGCAGGACGAGGTTTGTAGTTGGGCATGCTCTCCATCTCCTCGAAAAGTTCTTCCGCAAATTTCTCGTCGCTGACACGGCAGAGAGCGTTGACAATGGTACCATAGGTGACAGAAGTGGGCCGGATACCAAGGCTACGCATCTCGGAGAAGTAGAACAAGCAATCATCGATGCGACGAGCTTTGCCCAGCTTACCAATGAGAGCATTGTACAGAAAAGACGATGGCTCAACACCCTCAGACTTGGCGCGAAGGAAGATCTTGACAGCTTCGGTAGCTTCGTCAAAGGTTTTTGTTGACTCCTTTAGAGTAGTGATGTAAAGACCAAAGGTGTTGGCGGTAGGAGCAGCGCCCATATCGAGCAAATCCTGATGATAACGAGCAGCCAGATCGCGCTGACCACAGGTAAGGCAGGCTGCGACCATGGCATCCAGAATAGTGACCCAGCCATGATGAACGATGCGGTACTGTGGCAGCAGAGGGACGTCTTGTTTGGCGAGGTTGAGGATGTCGTGAACAAGAGTCAGGCGGTCTTCCTTTGCAGCAGCAGTGATGAGCTTGGCGTACGTGAAGAATCGAGGGTGGCGGCCTGCTCGACGCATGTTCCTGAATTTCATCAAAGCCTCATTCAGGTGTGATGCTGGTCGTCCATGGGTCTTTTCGAGCAATTCGGTGATGGCGACAGAGCCTTTGTTATCAGTGGTGGCGGCATAAGGGTCGTACTGGTCTTCAAACGTAGGAACCGCAGGCTGTACTGGTGCTTGGACAGGGTAAGCTCCAAATGGCGCAGGCGAGTAGAGAGATTCGGGTGCAGGGTGCTTGTAGCTGTACCACCTGTGTTGAAGGTCGCCCCTATCAAGCTGAGAGAGGACCTTCTCCACAAGACTAGCGGTGGTCTTGTTGACAGGTAAGCCAATTGCCGTAATGACCTCGAGCAGGTGCGCGAAGCGCGCAGCATGAGCAACATCGACTTCAGTTCCCTGAAGAATGATACCAGACTGCACCTGCATAAGAAGTGTAATGTCCTCGAAACTGAGCTGGGCAATGGCTTCAGGTCCCATACCGGCGAGCAAATGGTGAGCGACGGGAGTAACCAGGCCACCGTTCTCAATCATGGTCCAGAACAGTTCCATGCTAGACCGGGCCGGCAGGAAAATGCCACGCTTCATCATGAAGTGACCCATGACCTCGATCGCCTCGTCAATCTGCTCAACAATCTCCATCTTAGCTTGGTTAGAGCTGGACTGAGAGTCGCGGATACGAGCAAACATTTGGCGGCCTTGACGAAGTCCACGCTCAGCTTGGCCACTGCCTATCAAGGCAATGGTGTGCATAGAGGTGGGCTCAATAAAGTCTGGCTTTGTCGGCGATAGCTCGAGCATCCTCCAGAAGACCTCTGCAGCCTCAATGTTTCCATTGCGGATGTGCATAGCTGCCATGGCCATGGCAGGCCGGGACAGGTCCACCTCGGCAGGCAGATTCTCAAAAGCATCCGTGGCAACCTGAATAGCATCGCGATCCGCAGCCTTGATGCAGATGGCAGCCATGGCGATCTGTCGAGCTTGTGGGCTGAGCTGCTCATTGGCGTGTACGTAGGCGTCCTGAAAGGAACCGCTTTTCAGCCATTCTGGCAGGAGACCCTTTAGAGTGACAATATCGCGTACTGAAGTGACGTCTTCGGGAGCGGCGAGTGTGCTCTCGATTTTGGAGAGAAACCTCTGGCCTCCAGCAAAACGTCCGCAGATGGCGTATGCTCGCACGAGGGCCGCATACACATCGTTGTCCTTTCTTGCAATCTCCACCAGGCCGTGGTCACTGGCAACGGCAATGGCCTTGTACTCGTCATAGCACTCGACCGCACTGCTCAAATCGCCCGACTTTCCAAAGGCCTGAATCATGGGAACAAACATGTCCGCAATGGGGGTGACTTTGCGGGCCTCCATATGGGAGTAGATTCGGACCATGTCTTCTACGCGATCGCCCTCGGCGCAAGCCGTGACGAGTAGGCGGTAGGTCTTCTCAGAAAAGTTGCGACCAGCCTCGACGTTGATTGCAGCATCGAAGAGCTTGACAGCTACCGAGAGGGAGCCGTCTTCGGCCAGGATCGCGTAATCAGTCTCGTTTGACTGAAGCATGAACCTGCCGTCCTCTTCCATTCCGCCGTACCTCAGACGCTTCTCTTCATAATACTGCTTCATCGAGATGACTTCTAACGACCGCACGGAGAGGAGCTCGATGAGAGCGGTATATGTGGCGGTGTCGGGAGTCACTCGTCGACGAAGCATGTCAGAGTAGACGTCCAAGGCCTTGGGAACGACCTGATGCTTTGCGCGTGGGAGATGGATGGCGGCGGAGAGAAGAACATTGTACGCAGCGACCGATGGCTTGAGACCAGCTCGCAGCATGGCCTCGAAGATGGCTGGCACTTCAGCATACTGGCGGTTCTCAGCCAGTCTCTGAAGCTGTACTGTGTATTCATCGTGTGCTTCGATTGGAGAAGCCGTCCATGTCGAGTCTGTGCGGGTGAGAGTGGTAGAGTTGACAAGAGTATCGGCAACGGTAGCCGGTGACTCGGGCTGGGCTTCTTGGACGGCTGCAGGCTCCTCCTCCGCTGCCTGGACAGCTTCTGTGTCAACGTGGAGTTTTGCCTTGGCCGCCCCTTGCGCAATTGCCTCGTCCACCTGAGCGAGGGCAATTTTTTCCGCTTCTTCGCTGTTGATGGCGTTCCTGAAATCATCTACTTGGCTTGTGCTGTATGCACGGTTGACCGTGGCACGGGCACGAACAGGATCAGCCACCTCTTCGATTGCCGTGCTATTCTCCTTTGCCTCGACGGCGGCCTTGGAGCCGGCGGGATCCCATTCAATCAGCTTGCGGAACTGGAATTGCGACCATTCCTTGTCCTCGGTCCGCTGTGTCTTCTGCCATGCTGAGTAGTAGGCGGCTAGACCGGAGTCTTGGTGGTCGTGTGCGCTTGCGGCAAGGGCCTTGAGAGCACTGGTGGTCGATGTAGAAGCAAAGGCATGTTGGTTCTTGAGGCCTTTGCGGAAGCGGTCGTGTTGTAGTGTGGCAAGAGGGTTGTTCTGGCTTACACCAGCAACGACTGACTGAGCATAACCGTGCGTGAAGCCTTTGGCAAGACTCTGGCGCGCGAGATGGAAGCTCTTAAAGACCATTTAGGAAATGGAGCAGCCCTTCCAATGAGAAGGGTGAGACTACTGGATGGTCAGCTTCAAGTTTCTCTCCCATGGCTGGCGTGACGAGACGCGAGGCTGTTTGGTCGCCAGACTTCTTGTCGGTGTTTGCGCAGTCGCGTGTGTTCTGTTGCCGATGAATTTTGACGTTCAGGCAGCCATTTTCGACACTTGGGTGTGCGAACAAGGAACATCGGAACATGGTCATGGGATGCATGGCAAAGACGCGATGGGGAATCTACGTACTGTACTTCTCGATATCACACGGCAATGATGCAGGTTCATTTGACGACAACCGCCAAACAAACGCGCTTCACGGAGAGAGTGGTAGGGAGGGAAGGGAAGTTGTCGACGGGAAATTAGAGTTGGACGCAAGATCGGAAACGTCTCCGGACTGACCCGTAAACAACCAAGGCTGGATGGAGGGAGGGTGTGGGAAAGGAAAGAACAGGCAAGAAGGCCTGCGGGAGAGAGAGAGAGAGAGAGAGAGAGAGAGAGAGAGAGAGAGAGAGAGAGAGAGAGAGAGATGGAGAGTAGGTTGGAAGGCAAGACAGGCGAAGTGTTAATTTAGGGCGGCAAAGGGAAAAGGGAAGATTCGAGCGTGCATCGCGCACTGTAGTCGTCATGAAGTCGGCGGCGGACGGTAAGGACGGGGATGGGAGATTTGGAGACTAAGCAGGCCTGCCGAAAAATCCTCGCGCGACCCGCCTTGGGCCCGTTTCCCTTTTTGGGGGGTGTGGTTGGAGAGAACTTCTTTCTCCAGTCTGCCCCCCAAAATTTCTGACATGCCACATGCCACATGCCACATGCCACATGCCAGCAGAAAAAGCCTCTTCCCGTTCTGGACAAGCACGCCTGATTGGCTCGGAGGGCTCGCTCGACCTCCCCGACCAAGTCTACAGAGCTGGTCTAGAGAGTGACGGGTACTCTAGAGTAGAGAGTGAGGAGTGGTGGTGGTGGAGGGTTGTGGCTCAGCCCTCTTGAAGTCTTGGGCCGGTCGTCGGCGAGATGGATGAGGCGGTTTGCACCGATGACAAAGACGCCGACTACCGTTTGGATGTCCCATTCGACCAGATGCTGCTGCTGCCTAGGATGGCGACAAGTTGGACTTGGCCGGCTGGATCCGTGGCTGACTCACACATCGGAAAATGGATCCAACACATGGATACATAGAGTACATGTACATAATGGTACTCTAGTACTCTCAAGCTAGCTTGTTGCCGGCACGTGACGTTGAACACCTCACACAATGGATGGCTTGTGGACTTGAGGATAGGTAGATGTTACTGCTAACTATACAATACTGTAGAACAGCAAGAGCCAGGCATGGAAACAACGACTGCAAAACACACACACCCTACACACCCATCCATTACTCGTAAACCCATCTTTACCCCTACTCTACAATCCCCCCAATCAAAGATCCACCCAAACTCCTCCTCCTCCTCCTCCTCCTCCTCCTCCTCCTCCTCCTCCTCCTCGCCTTCTCCTCCCGCCCAACCAACCGATCACCGACATCATCACTAGCCACCCCCCATCGCCCTCCCCATCTTACCAATCCATCCCAGTCTCGCTCTCACATCGACCCCTCCAAGCTCCACATACACACACATCCTGTCTAGTAGTACTTACTGTCCTGGTACTCGCACACATCCCCCACCATGTCTCCCACAACCGACCCAGACGCAGACGCGGCCTCACTGACCCCGACCGCCGTCTCCTGTCCAGCCAAAGTGCTAGTCGCCGGTGGCTATCTCGTCCTCGACCGCGCTTACACGGGCCTCGTGTTCGGCCTCGACGCACGGATACACTCTGTCGTCGAGCCAATCAAGACACGCTCTGGCGTCACCATTACCGGCATCGTCGTGACCAGTCCGCAGTTTCGTGAGGCGATTTGGGAGTATGGGTATAGGTCGCTGGGGGAGGAGGGTGGGATTGCCGTGACACAGTTGAGTGTGTGAGTAGGACTTGGTTTTTTTTATCGTTTTGCTCTGTCAATGTGGTTGTATTTTTTTTTGTTTTTTTTTGTTTTTTTGGTGAGAGGGGGGAAGTTTGGCTGTTTGCTCTTTTTTCTCCAACATCTTCTTTATTATTGTTTTGATGCGAGTTATATTCTCTACTCTTGAAGATGCATCTTCTTTCCTTTCAGTTCCATCCAATTGTCCAAACTCTTCTCTTCCGGTTCACATCTATCTAATTATCCATATTCTTCTCTTCCCTTTCATATCCATCCAATCATTCACATCCTCTCCATCCCATCCAAGCTCATATCAAAATGATCAAGCTCCCTACCTACCCACCTAGAAACACTCCTCAACCTCTCTACTCTCCATAATCAACATGCTGCCACCCAAACAACTCACCTCCCATCTAACCACCCCCTTTCCAGCGGCCACGAACAATCAATCTCCGCCTCCAAAAACCCCTTCATCGAAACCGCCCTCGCCTACGCCCTAACCTACATCTTCACCCTCCTCCCCAACAACCTCATCCGCCCCTCCAACATCCGCATCCTCGCCGACCAAGCCTACTACTCCAACCCCGGCCAACCACGCACCACCACCACCTCCTCCTCCAACCCCAGCCGCTTCCCCGACTTCACCGTCCCCCTCCGCGACGCCCACAAAACCGGTCTCGGCTCCTCCGCCGCCCTCGTAACCTCCTTCACCGCCGCCCTCCTCTCCTTCTACCTCCCACCCTCCCTCTTCGACCTCAACACCCCCCAAGGCCAAACCATCCTCCACAACCTCGCCCAAGCCAGCCACTCCCACGCCCAAGGCAAAGTCGGTTCCGGCTTCGACATCGCCAGCGCCGTCTACGGCTCCTGTCTCTACAAGCGCTTCTCCCCCTCCCTACTCAGTACACTACCCGCCCCCGGCACCCCAGGCTTCGCCCGCAACCTCAAGACGCTGGTCGAGGGCCCCGCCTGGGACACAGAGATCCACAAGGCGGCAATCCAGATGCCCCGCCATCTACGCCTGGTCATGTGTGACGTCGACTGCGGGAGCGAGACGCCTAGCATGGTGAAGAAGGTTCTCGCCTGGCGCTCAGCGCACAGGGAAGCCGCAGACACACTCTGGAGCAACTTGCAAGCGGGAAACGAGGCCTTGGCCAAGGAACTCACGCGCCTGGCGCAGAGCCCCGAGCCAGACGAGACGCGGTACGAAACGCTGAGGACGATTATCAAGAGCAATCGCAGTCTGATCAGGGAAATGGGACAGCAGTCTGGTGTCCCGATGGAGCCGAGGCAGCAGACCAGGTTGCTGGATTACTGCTCGGAGTTGGAAGGGGTGGTTGGCGGCGTGGTGCCCGGTGCAGGTGGCTTCGATGCTGTTGTCCTGCTGGTCGAGGATAAGCAGGACGTCCTTGCCAAACTCAAGACTGCACTCGAACAGTACAGAGACGAGGATGATGCGGATGCGCCCGGGGGAGTGAAGATTGGTAAAGTAGGAATTATTGGCGTGAGGGAGGAAATGGTGGGTGTGAGGCAGGAAGACTTGGGTTTGTACTCGGAGTGGGAATCTTCTTCCTGAATTGTGATTGCCACACAGAGCACTGTTTGGACGGTAGATGGCATGGGAGGGAGCAGATTTCATGCCGCTCGAGCAACAAGGAAAATTGCGCCAAGAGGAGTATGTACGTCGGATGCAAAATAGATGCAAGCTATGGTTACAGTAGGAACCATGTAAATGCAGATTTACACAAAAACTCTTGGCTACTGCATTCGAGAGATCAATGTCGAATATGAGCATGACGAATCCGCGACATGTCGTTCTTGACATATACAACATCATTCATCCGAGGGAAAATGTCTGGATATTGCGCTCAAGACTCCATCATGCTTCACATGCACTCCAAAGCCTGCCAACTCAATCATTTCACATTGTATCATAATTTGAATCCTTGGTCTGAACTTTTTGATTCATATAGATCTTGACGTGGACGCCAACCCATTTCCGTTAGAAGATCGCCCCGTCCGTTCCTGACCTGCCACATCACCCCCTCTCTCCACCCACTGGAGTTTGGTACTAAGGGTACATTGGTGAGTCGCTAGCTGGAAAAGCCCCGGCAATGCAATGCTTCGTGAGAGACAAAGGAAGAAAAGAGAACACACTCGGCCAAAGCACGCTTATGCCTTGACGGCGTACTTTCGCTGGGGGAAGTGTGTCTGCTTCTTCTTCTGCTTCTCGGTGACGAGCGACGCCTCGTGCTTGGTGAGTCTTCGGCGGATGGCGCGGGTCTGCTTGGGTCGGAGGTCGAGGGGAGTGTACCTGCTGGTTGTTAGATGCTGTTTTCCCGTAAAAAACTTAAGACGCCTCAAACGCACTTCTTGCCCTTGTAGAACAGGCGGAGCTGGGCCCTCTGGTTGGCGTTGATGACGGTGAGGACCTTGGCGATTCCCTTGCGGACGTCATGAATGCGGGTGAGCTTGGTGTTTGAGCCTCCAGCAACCTTGGCGGTCCTGAGCGAGATCAACTCCCTTTACATCCGTCAGCATTTTCACTCCGGCAAGTAGTATCCACGTAGCGTAGTTGGGGCGACATACGACTTGAGGTCGCTGAGTTGAGACGCGAGGTCATCCTTGGACTTGTTCCACAGCTGGGCGGTCTTCTGCAACGGTTGTGAGTGTGTATTCGATGGGAACGTGTAGCGTATGCGAGAGGGTACGTACGACTTTTCCGGTAGACTGCGAAGTAAATTGTCAGCATAAATACACTTCCTTGATACTGTTTGTAAAACTTTTCGACATGGTCGCAGAACCGCTAGCGGGGAGGTGCAATTGCTTCAATCTCCCATGATAGCCTGGTCCAAGAATTGCGCGACCCCATGTTCTCTTTCGACAGGAGTAAATTGAGAGCATAGACGTACCATTTTGACTGTATGTTAGTATGGCCGGGTGGTGTAGATGGGGGTCTCGCGTGCGTCTGCGATTTGGTCGTCGAGGTGGAAATTCACTAGAGCAGTGTGGTGCCTTGCCGGTGCTCGCTTCAGCTTCGCCGACATGACTAACCTGGAGCGTGTTAGTGGCTTGGCAACATTGCGTCGCTGTACAGTCCGCGCCAGGGCTGCAAGCGCATCATGCCAAACCACCACCAACAAGAATGACCGTCGACATTCACGGGACCATTTTCAAAGTCTGTCATCTGTAAACATGTCATCGACGGGTGGCGGCTGGGCGCAACTGCGCCAACAAGCGCGCACTCTTGAACAACAAGTACGTGGATCCGACATGCGACATAGAGGCGTTGAACACAGCTAACTAGGGATGCTTGGATGCCAGACGGAGACTCTCTTTCACACATACTCACAGTTCAGTTCGGCGCCGAACATTCCCTCCAAGCCCTCTGAAGAAGAGTTGCGAGTGGAAGCTCGTCTGCATGAGGTCCTCGATCAAAGAGACGGTCTCGTCTCCCAACTATCAAGACTCCTCGCCTCCGAATCAGCGCATTCTGCCTCCGCTGTTAAGCAGAACAACCTTGCTCGACATCGTGAAATACTTTCAGACCACCGTCACGAACTTACCCGCCTAAAATCCACAATAAGCGAAGCACGAAACAGAGCAAACCTGCTGTCAAATGTGCGCTCCGACATCAATGCCTACCGGTCGTCACAGCCAGGCCAAGCTGAGGCAGACTACATGTTAGATGAAAGGTCGCGAATCGACAATTCTCATAACGTAGCCGACTCTGTGTTGAGCCAGGCGTATGCAGTCCAAGAAAACTTTGGGATACAAAGAGAGACAATGGCGAGCATCAATCGCAGAATTGTGGGCGCTGCAAGCCAAGTACCAGGCATCAACAGTCTGATTGGCAGGATCGGGTCCAAGAAGAGGCGGGATGGCATTATCTTAGGCACCTTCATCGCTTTCTGCTTTTTGATGTTGTTATGGTTCAGATGAATCGCTCAGGAGGGCACGCATGTGATTTGGCGTTAGAGCGTACTGGATATCCTCATGACCTTCAGTGGGTATAATTTTGGGCAAGGCGTCTTGGACCTGCTGGTGTACATTTATGATTTACAGCTCCTTTTGCGGAGTCTCAATATCCATCTTGCATCCCTTCAAGCTTCCTACTTCCTACTCCTTACAAGGCTTCAGAGACTAGCCTGTTGAAGCCTTTGTTCATGTCTTCCATCTCGGTGTCTTCTGCATACCCACTGCCTGCCCATCTGATCTTACAATCCTGATCAACCAAATATACGTATCCCACACGTCCATTCAGCAGTCCTATGGTCTCTCGAATCCTCTCACTCACGCCTTTCCTCACAATGAAGTATTTGCCCCAATCTTCTTTTGGTCGCGCAGACTTTAACCTGAACTGGAAAAACGATATTATCCACGCCTTCATACTATTTTCCTCAATATTGATATCGACCATTTGCGCAATCCCAGGATGTTGCGCTATGACTTCGTGAATTTTGCTGTTGACTGACTTCCCCGTGAAAGATTGCGCCTGTGTCTCGCCCCACTGGGAGCTATACACATTGACCACACTCACTTTGCCTCGTAGAACAGTCGTAGTGTCTGCATTTTTCTCTGCCAGCGTGTTTCCATGGAAGTTTGGAAAATACAGCGCCTTGTCCTTCTTGTAGATCTGTGGGTTCGCGAGGAACGTCTTACCAGACCTGTACTTGCGGATATTCTTGAAGTCGCGGAAATAATTTGTACCCCACTTCTCCACCAAATCTTTGCGCTTCTCCAGATTCCGTTGTGACATTGTCATGCCCGAGTAGTCTTTTTTGGGTTTGACAACGCTGGTATTTTCGCCAGGCCTTGGAGGAGATTGGAAGCCAATGGGGCGCCCGAGAGGCTTCGGGATAAATACATCCTCATCTTTGGGGTCAGGCGTAGGCGCGGCTTCGGCTGGTTTAGGTTCTGGTTCTGGGTGTTGAAGGACGGGCGCAGAGGTGATGGTTCTAGTGAATCTCGGCTGGAGAGAACTGCGGATCATTCGAGTCTCGCATCGCAAACATATGGAAGGCGACGCCTGCAGCAGGCGCTGAAGAGGGACGGCTATCCTTGGCTGGAGCATCGTTGCATGTAGGGTGAAATGCACAGTGGTTCTGCTCGCAGATCCATCAAGTAAACTGAAGGCTAGTCCATGCTGAGACTAGTCTCTCACTCTGCCACGTGCTTTCGCGTCGCTACGTGACTTCCCCCGCACGGTAGCCTCAATTACGTGCAACACCCTTCGCTAGCCATCAATCACCTTTAGATAAAGAAACTGTCTTTTTGACTTTCACAATGCGCGAATCCTCACCCACGTACTCGCAGTTGATCGAGCACTTCTTCATTTTCCATTCAACATCAATCACGGCGCACAAAGCAATATCAACTCGACACAAATCCTCAAGCATACCTGTTTTCAATCCATACACACAAGCTTCTTCAAAAAGATACAATCATCATGTCCGATGATGAACTCTCTGTCAAGAAGTCCTACTTTCAGAACCAAGATCTTCTAGATGTCTCGGATGACGAACAGTACGATATGGGGGAGAGTTCAAAGGCCATTGAACGAATGCTTGTGGACTCGAAAGTAATGCCCCCTCCGAGATTGATCACCCACTCGAGCAGCTTCCTTGGACCAACACCAAAGGAGCTTCAGGCGGAGTTTGAGGCCCACGCTAAGATGCAACGTGCTTTTACTCGACAGGATGCTCAGAAGCTCGCGCGTTCATCTACAGTGCCCGAGTCAGATGTTACAAAAAGCTTCACTGTGACTAAACCTTCGCCTGAGCCATTTATTGCTCGCGGTAAACGGGGCGAGAAGCTAAGGAGGACTTCGTCGCTACCTAGCCTGCCTGTGCCTTTCTACAAACGGATGGGCAATATTCCGCGAGAGCTGAGCAAAGGCAAGAAGAAGGCAGGCCTCGCTGAGAATATCGAGGTGAGGCCCGAGGCAACCCAGCTGCTCAAAGAGAAGGTTGTATACTTTTATCCAAATGACGATGTAAGCATGTTGCGGCGGATGCGTATACATAATATCATTCAACTTGGTGCTGCTTGGGTCAAGTCGTGGAGGGACGACGTAACACATATCATTACTGACGATGAGACTGTCACATATGGCCACTTGCTTACGCACCTGAAACTGGAGCGTGTTCCTGTCAGTACAAGGCTATGTTCACCAACGTCGCTTTTAATAGGTCAGAAAGAAGTAATACTGGTCCAGTATCAGCCATATGTGACCGACAGCATCAGGTTTGGAGAACTTCAGGATCCCAGTCGTCGCCGATTTCGTGTCCAAGATGCTCCACTGAGGGAAGCAACAAATATTGTACAAGCTACCCAGTTGTCAGCTACATCGCAGAAATCTCTGAAAATCAAGCCGTCTGGACGACAACTTACTGCTCAGGAATCCCGGAAGTCTGACTCGTATCCAAATGAAGAAAAGTCTCCCTCGCAGCAGCCTGCTGTTGAACCGCCTGCCCCTATATTCGAGGAAAGAGTAGAGGATAGCTTCATTATGCCCTCACCTGAGCCGAACGAGACGAAGAAAACTGGAGACCAATTCAATGATGCTCTGTCACTAGCAATTCAAGAGGCAAAAGCAATCGCGCATCTTCCGCTCGATGACGATGACGATGAGTATTTCTCAAAGGTCAGTGAAAGAGACACAGATGACTCTGGAACGGACGATGAGCCCACCAAAGCCGAACCAAAACTCGCCGAAAAGTTCAGTTTCGTCTCCAAGGCCTCTGCCCTACGAGATAAAGGCTCGCTCAAACTCAGCGCCTTCCAATGCATGGACCCCGGTGCCAGCGGCTACACGTCCCAAAATCCCAATGTTCGCACCATCCAGATCCTAGAGGAAATGTGCAAGCACTACGACCAAATGCAAGACAACTGGCGCACCCTCTCCTACCGCAAATGCATCGCCACGCTCAAAAAGCAATCTATCAAAATCACAACAGCCAAACAAGCCATCGCCCTACCCACAATCGGCCATCGCCTCGCCGACAAGATTGAAGAAATCGTACTCACAGACTGCCTCCGCAAACTAGACTACACGCGCAACGACCCCCTCGACACCGTCCTCCGCCTCTTCCTCGGCGTCTACGGCGCCGGTCTCGTCCAGGCAAACAAATGGATCCAAGCCGGCCACCGCACCCTCGCCGATCTCGAATCCAAGGCCAAACTCACTCCCTGCCAGAAAATAGGCCTACAGCACTACGCAGACTTCAACGCGCGCATCCCCCGCGCCGAAGTCGAAGCCCATGCCAATCATGTCAGGTCTGCACTTCGCAATATCAACCCAGACTACGAAGCCATCACCATGGGGTCCTATCGCCGTGGCGCCGCTGACTCGGGTGATGTCGATATCATCATAACATGCCCAGACACCCCTCTCTCCACCATCCACTCCACCGTCTTTGACAATCTCATCCCCCACCTTTTCACCACGCACTTTCTCAAAGCCTCGCTCGCTGCATCCAACTCCCACTCCCACTCCCACTCCACTACCCCATCCGGCTCAAAATGGCACGGCGCATCCTGTCTCCCCGGCTCACACATCTGGCGCCGCATAGACCTGCTCCTCGTGCCGGAGCCGGAAATGGGCGCGGCGTTGATTTACTTCACGGGCAATGATGTGTTTAATCGCAGTGTGAGGTTGTTGGCGCGGAAGCGTGGGATGCGGTTGAATCAGCGTGGGTTGTTTAGGGATGTGGAGAGGGGGCTGGGTGGGCAGAGGTTGAATGAGGGGGTGTTGGTGGAGGGCAGGTGCGAGAGGAGGATCTTTGAGGTGCTGGGTGTGCCGTGGAGGGAGCCGGGGGAGCGGGTTTGTTAGGGTTGGGGGGGAGGGGAGGGGGTGTGCTTGGTTGGACGAGGACTGATTTGGCTTGGAGAGTGAGGTGTGTTAATAAAGGGTGATGTGGTATATGTTTGATTGATGCCTTGTCTCATGTCTGCATATCTCGCCACAGTAGAGTCTACTGTCTCCCCCAACATCAAGGCGTTGAAAAGCTATCCCGTTATCATCCATCGTCCCAAGAATCCAATGTTCATCATATCTCATAAACTTTCGCAACCCTCAGCCATGGTATCATCACGTATCCTTCCTTGCCTCGTGCCCAGGACATCATGACGCCCTCCTGCCCTTTCTCCTTCCAGCCTTGCCAACCCCGCCATCTTCATTTCTCTTGTGCCACTCATCAATCTCACGCCGAACACTCTCCCTATACGTCTTGTACTCCTCGCTCGTTTCCACCAAGAGCTGCGGACAGTGACCGGAGCGACGAAGGTGGCGCTTGAGGTTTTCCCACCGACAGTCGGGCTTGAAGGTGCAGTTTGCATGGGGACATCTGTACGGACGGAGAGTCTATCAGAAAGCCAGGATGTTAGTGAAGTGTTGTTTTCAAATGAAAAGGAACCAACGCCATGTCACAACCGTCAGTACATACCTGATGCGTGCGTTCGTGTTTACTCAGGTTGCTCGAATCCGCGCACGTAAAGTCGCAGAACCTGCATTTGTGCGGCTTCTTTCCCTCGTGCAGGGCACTGATATGTGTCTGCAACTGCGTGTGGGTTGTGGTTGTGTATCCGCACCTATCACACACATAGGGTCGCTCGCCCGTGTGCGTACGCTCGTGGTTGTCCTTGGCTTGGTTGGTGGCAAAAGTCTTGTCGCAGCCTGCATAACTGCAGGCGTAGGGGCGATAGCCAGCATGGCCGAGCAAGTGGCGCGAGAGCTTGGAGCGCTGTTTGAAGTCTTTGGTGGAGGCATCACAGGATTCCCATTGACAGAAGCAGTGGGTGCAGTTGTCGACGTGGGCGGTCTTGATGTGTTTGTGGAGGGCTTCCGGCGACTGGAACACAGCAAGGCAGAGTATACCAGGAGCATGTTGCCTAGAGAACTGTAAGTGAATTGCTAGTGCAACATCATCATGCGCGACAGGGGTTTGTAGTTGCGTCTACAGGAAAAGACGGCGTGAGTGCACTTACCATTTGCAGATACAAGCCTGGCTGTCCGAGTTTCCACTCTCTACCAGCGAGCTCGAAGCCACACTCGCCGTTGTCGTAGGTCGACCCATGTCATGCTGCACCGCCGAGGCAAGAAAGTCTAGCTTATTGGTGCCAAACGTGTTCTGGAATGTGGTCGGGAAATTAGAATCCGCCATCATCCACGACTGGTCGTTGAAGCCCATCATAGCATTGTCCAGATTGAAAGTGTTTGATCCAATAGAATTGCGATCTGCGGACAAGGGACTCGTTGGCAAGCTTGGGTTGAAGTTGAAGTTCATAAAGTTATTCGCCAGCCCATTGCCTTGGGCGATCGAGGTGTTCCAAAAGTCCAACTGTTGTTTCGATGCCGAGGGACAGTCTCCGCAGGCTCTCTTTGTACCATGACAACAAGAGTTGTCGATGTGGCAATGGTCCCCGGATGTGTTCAGGAGGCAATTGTTCGAAAAGGCGGATTGTCCCGGAGCTGGCGATAATTCTCCCGAGAAGACACTCTCCAGCGAGGTATAGTTGCTGTGAGAGAGCGCCGGTGTTGCAGCACTCGATGCCGTCGTAGTCAGGTTGTTACTGCCGTTGAAGTTGTCGTGAGTAGGAGAGAAGCAGGGGTAGGTTTCGAAAGACTCTAAGCCGTTGCTGTGTCCCGGGTATTCCTCTTGAAAATGGCAAGGTGCATTGTCGTAGCAGTAGACGGTACCGACAGGAGTGGGAGCAGAGTGTGCAAGATGACACTCGTTGTTGGGGTCGCCCAAGGGGCAAGGTCGGACGTTGCACTTTTGGCAGAAGCAAGGCTTCTCTGGACAGGTCAACTTGGTACACTCCGGGTCCACACAGCCGTCCGTACAGTGTTGCTCCGTCTGCTTGCAGTGAGGGTCGAAGCAAGCGTCCTCCTCTGGGCAGTCGGGGCTGGGACAAGCCGCAGCACAGTCTGGCGGGCACACAGGGTCCAAGTTACACTCTTGACAAAACTTCTCAAAGCAGTCGTCTGGAAACTGACAGTCCACGTCGAGGGACGAGTCGGCGGGGAGATGGTGATACTCGCCTACCTTCTGGGCCGAAGCCCTGCGCTTAGCTGGGCGTACATTGCGCGCCTCGGGGCACGGTTCCAGGCAATGAGTGCAGCATAAGATGGCTGGGTCGATGCCATTTGGGTTCTCAAAGCCCGGGCCAGGCGTTTGAGAGGGTTGGGCATGCGTTTCTTTGAGCTGGTCGGCCTCGCGCTTTGTACCCACGACAGGCGATAGAGCAAACATGGGATCAGTGACCCAGAAGAAGTCGTCTTCGCCAAAGGCCGAGTCGTGATCGTTTTCTGGCAGCTGGTCAGCCATGTTGGCGTGCGTACGGGCAAGTTTTGCGACAGTATTGACGACATGAACCTTCATGAGGGGAGGGCTGGACATCATGGTATTCGCCCGAAATCCCGGAAGCGAAAGGCCGTTGGCTGAGAGGAACAAAGGGTTTGGGGGGAAAAAGAGAGGCGGGCTTACCTACGTAATAATAGGTTCATGCCATGGATTGACTGTTCAGGAACAGGAGTGGTGCCAAATCACAATATAAGGCTGCGGTTGTAGTATTTCCGTACAGGCGCAGGGAAGGGAAGGGGGGCATGTTTTCGAAAAGGTGAATGGCGCACATGACGAGAGGTCCAGCTAGGTGAGTGAACGGGAAATAAGCGATCTCGCCGTTGTTGCCATTGGCTCTGCCGGTCGTCCATGCCCGATCTGTCCGTTTGCTGCCGTTGGACACTGGACTCATCTCACTTGCGACGACGACGACAGCAAACAATGGCATGAAACAAGTCTCCTCAAAGCGAGCTGAGAGCGTCCTGCTGCTGCTGCTGCTGCTGAGTTGTCGTTCAACGGCGCACAGAAGGTTGGTCAGCTTCAGCCTCGCTTGCTTGCACCATACGCGGCTATTTCATTGGTGAGAGTCATACTGTCATACTGTCATACTGTCATACTGCCATAGTACTGTCATACTACTCTACAGAGGGGCAGGGGTGAGTAGTCCGTCCTATGAACGCCTCTGCGACCCTCCAAGGCTCCCTTGAAGCCAAACCACTCCACAATCCAATCTGCAACAATCACACACACACACACACACACACAACGAGGGAGTCAACCAACCAATGCAACACAATGCGCCTCTACTGCAACTCCCCGTCGTCTGTCTGCACAACTTGTCCTAGCAGCCGACATCCGGTAACCTGGTACTTGGCGCCAATTCCACACGTCTTCCCGCAACAAGGCTGAAGCCTGACGTCTTACCCTTCCCCCCCCCCCCCCCCCCCCCCCTCCCCCCCAAAAAAAAACCCAACCCCCCCACACCCCCCCCCACCCCCCACACACCAACCCAACAAAACCACAACCCCCCCCCCCACCCCCCCCCCACCCCCCCCCCCCCAAAACACCACCAACCCCAACCCCCACCCACCCCAACCCCCCCCCAAAACCCAACCCACCAACAACCCACCACAAAACCCAACCAACACCCCCAACAAAAAACCCAAACACAACACAACAAAACCCAAAAACCCCCACCCAACCCCCCACCCACACCCCCCACCAAAAAACACCAAACCAGTCTCCCGCTCTCATCCTAGCACAGCGAGAGAGAGAGAGAGAGAAAAAACTCCCTTCCACCCCCTCTCCATACAAAAGACTTGACAAGCGGTGCGCAAACCCGTCTTGGCCCGCCATCAAGAAAGGGTGCACCACCCGGTGCTTCCAAACAAAGGCGCGTAGGCATCTCAGAAATGCAATCAAGACCACATCCACTCCCCGTTTTGCTCGAGAACACAGAAAAAAAAAAGCACGGCCAGGCAAATGCAAGACACCATAGACAGAGCCATGTCTCTCCCCGTCCGTCCTTCTCCTCGCACGCATTGAGAATTGAATTGAAAAAAAGGCACACTCGCATGGCGGTATGCGGCAGGGTATAGAACAGAAAATCGCGGGACAGCCAGACGTTCAGGGTGTTTTAGGGCGCGATTATTGGTATACGAGGAATGAGGTGGCGCGAAAATGTTGAGGGAGAGGTGCGAAAATCAAGTAGTGTGAGAACGCGTCCTACCCAGGTAGTGGTGACTGTCTGGTGGCGCAAGGCTCCTGCAGAATCAAAAGGCCAGGGAAAAAGTGTCACTAAGTATCGCCGTTCAAGACTGTGAGCGATAGCGTCGCGGAATGCTGATGAACTCGCAGAAACAAGCGGAGGGTTCTGAATGGGCAGCATATTCCAGATCAGTATCCAAAAGAAAAAGACACAAGATTTGGGCATCCTGAAACGGACTCGGGACAGAATTAAGCATAGCATAAAGTTCAATCATCGTAGCGACATTAGTAATTGGGCGGAGAGTTGATGAGCGTACTGGAGCCCGTGGAACCTGGCTTTGGAGTCTTGAAGAGCAAAGGCCGCATTGCTTGAGAGGGCGCAGAGTCAGGATGTTCCATCATTTTACGAGCTCGAGACCAGAATTGCGGTGGCGAGCAATCGGGCGATGGCGAAGAGGATGAGACAACTAGGGAAAGTTAACGGACAAAGCCTCTAGGGTTGGTTATGGGCTGGGAGGACGTCGATCACCTCCACTCCCATGCCCACCCGTGTCCGTGCTGTCGCCTTCAATCGTCTTTCGCCAGTGCTGTGGTAAGCATACGCATACTAGCGGGAACGCTTTGATCTCGCCATCAGTTTCGACTTGTGATTGACGACCTCCATTGCTAACGCCCGAGTCGCGTTGTTCAATCTTTCGGGCTTCCCACTGTTCGGCTGTCTCTGAGAGCCTCACACCAGTTGCCCAGCCGTCGTCCCAGATGCCAACAACCTTGAGCATATCGCCACGCTCCAGTTCGAATTCATCACCAGCCCGCGGCTGGTAGGCCCAGAGCGTGGCGACTGTGTCGTTCGGGTGGATGTCATCCTGGGAATAGTAATCTTTGAAAAATTGCAATTGCTCAGACTGTCCAGAAGCTAGGCCTTCTGGACTAGAGAAGTTGCGTCCTTGATCAGATCTCGAATGTGGTGTTGTGGTGCTTGTGTCAAGAGCTGAATGGTTCGATAGGGAGCCTTCTCGTTTTGGAAGAGCGCCCCGTATCGATCTGGGGGAGTCGAAACCACGGGCGGCACCGTAGGCTGTCAGCATGTGACTGTCCCTATCACTATGGCTTTCTGAAGAAGCCGAGCCTTCCAAAGCTGACATACGCTGGACACGAGCTCCTGGTAAGATCGTAGCCGAGGGATGACTGTCGCCGCCATAAGCCATTGGAGGTTTCGGTGCTCCTTTTGGGGAATGAAGAGACGATTGGACTGGTGTGTTAAAGACGCTGCCAGCTTGGCTGTTTCTTCGCTTTCGCACGTGAATACAGCAGAAGATCACTGCTGCTAGAATGAGCGCTGCTCCCACGAGTGATCCAATAACAATGCCCGCAATCGCGCCTCCAGAGAGCCCAGACCCAGAAGGGCGGTCGCCGTGGGAGCCTCCACCACCAGTCGAACTTGGCCCGGCGGAAGACGTGCCGGAGGGGAACAATGGTGGCATGGAGCGGATGGGAGGAAGAGTGACCCCCTGGCATCGCGACTCTACATTCGAAGTAATGCAGCACGAGTCGGTAGAGTTGACGGTACTGCCTCCGCAGTATGCACAGAGGCCGCGCAAATTGCCTTGGTAGCCACATTCATCGGGCTCGTTGTCAACTGCCTCGATACAGTTGCCACTCAACGCTTCTGCTGGGTTTGAACAACGCGTGAAGTCCGATCGGATTTGGGGAACCGCATTATTTCCCGGTGTACCACAAAGGTCAGGAGAGGCGACGATGCCCTGTTCGCTTATAGCAAAGTCGGCCTACTCATGGTCAGCAAGAACCTGATACATGACAAGCAGAGTCAGAAGAAGAGAGCTCCTACACAGGCATCTGCACAGAGTGGCGTTGCAGCCCTGTTACGCAGTCCACATGACTCTCGCGAGGCCTGGACAATGGCATTGCATAGCACTGTTGTCGTATAGCGAGCATATAGATTGGTCGTGTTGGTGAGATTGACACTCGAGCAGCCCAACACATTCTGAAATCTGGACATGGAGTCAGTGCCAGACGACGACCAAGGTTCAAGGGTGACGGGATGACTAACTGTTGCTGCGCGTATGTGGTTGCAATATAGTTCCGCAAGCTATCATCAAAGGTCTGCGCGTTGGATACAAAGGAGAGAAACGAGCTGTGACGGTCATGTGTTAGCCTTGGTTGGTTGGCTGATATCGATCTGTAAGCGAACGTACAATTGCCCTGTCAAGTTCCTGCTGATGGAGGCTGAACGGAAGGCCGGGCAGGCTGTTGAGCCTTGGAGCGAAATGCAATCCTGCTGGGCCATGGCAGCTGGAATTGAGGCAGCGAGAAGCGAGAGAGCAATGATGGTCTTCATGGCGCGGGGTGGTTGCTGTTGGCGACGGGGTGTGGGCCCCGAACGGCAGCGATTTTCAGATGAAGGCGAGTCGCAGCAGCGTAGGCATTGGCGCATAACTGTAGTCGTTGGCGTAAGGTGCAGCTATGTCGTGACGATAGGACGAATACCATCCGACTGCGAGACCGTGGGGCTAAGCACTGCTAGTGACGATGGCGGAGGCGGGGCGGTCAACAGCAAGACGCGTATTTCTACCAGTCCATTCGCAGCGATGAAGAGATTGGGGGGGGGCGGCTCTTATTATTAAGCTCAGTCGACTGTCTCTTTCTCTGTCTCTCCAGGGGGGGGGAAGAGGGAAGACGGAGCCAAAGGTATTAGAAAATAAAAGAGGCCGTATCGATTAGGAGGCCGCCCAAAGAAGAGAAAGAGGCAGCAGCAGCAGCAGGGCTGGAGTCGTAGCCAGGAAAGAGCGTATTGGGTGGGAAGCTACGACGGCCGTGAAGAGGAAGGCACCATGGGGGGAAGGTAGCGACTTGACACGCGAGAAAGAGGAGACGGTGTCCGGCAAGCGCCTTGCGCCAAAGACCGGGGTATCCGGCCGGGCCCTGTTTGATTGGCCTGCCCCTGTCGAGAGGAAATGAGCTTGCCCGACTAAAATTAGCCTCGCGAGGCGTCCAGGCCGCCGTCTCAGTATGTGTGTGTGGGGGATTTCCTTGCGTCCGTGATGGTAATTATTGTAGAGTAGTAGACTGTGGCATCAGCATGTATCTAGGTGTGTAGTATGTAGTTACAGCATCTTCACCTGTATTTTTGAGCGGGTCGCGGCAACAGAGGGGGGCGTGTACAACCCTCATGGCAGGCGGTGGCAGCTGTCCTTGCATATGGCCGGCAGCGCGAACGACAGGGTCTCCACACACAGAGGGACAACGCATGTGTATGCTACTGTAGCTAGGACATCCTGCGGCAACTGTCGCCGTGCAACTTCTGAAGCTCGCTGCCATTGTTGCAGCGCATGATGTGGGATCTGCATCCGAGACAGGTTGACATCTGGTACCACATCTGCTTCGCCTCTTGCCCTCGCCGCAGATTGTTGTCGACCTCGCGTCGTGCACCAGGAGTTGATCCCAACGAGAGCGAGAGCCCTGTGCGTGCGGCCTCCAGCATACGAGGGTCATGCATAAAAATCTCCTTGGAAGTTTGGCTGAACCTCCCCCCCTCCCCCCCTCCCCGCCTTTCACTCCTTGCGCCGACAGCCTCTTCTCTCATTTACCAGCCTAGTGAGTGTGAACAAGTTCAAACGACGAAACAGGACGAGCAAGTGGTGTGGAAGACCGCCAAATCATCAACTAGCTCGCTCGATCTACATGCACAGTACAGTCTTACCTTATTCTGCCACAACACAGACCAAGGCTTTATACTACGCCTTTTTGGGAACTAGCGGGCATCCTGGACGGCCCGCTCCTCTGAACCACCCTTTGGGTGCGACGATCGATCCTAATAGAGCGCCATACTAACACGTTGTTGTGTATCGTGGGCGAATCGCGAGCTCTGGTAGCCAGTAACGCTAATGTTCGTTGTGACACCTACACGCACAGCGCATCATCGTCATCACAAGGGACAAGCCTGGACAGTAGTATTCTACAGTCAACGGCTCAACCCTTACAGCTGTGTGCGACCGACACACCATTGCGTGTAGAGCACAAGATGTCACATTACGGAACTTCAACTGGGACAGGGGGAAAGATCAGCAGGCAAAGGCTGGTGGTGCCTACGTAGCAACTCAGTAACGTCACTTGAACTTCATATATGGGATATGGTAGTTCCAGAGATCAGACATATATCAAGGATCAATTATGGCATCGAGAAACTATATACTCCCTGTGGCTAAGAGAGTTGGAATGCCTCAGCCCTGGTTATCATCTACACTTCACGGGGGTCTAAGATGATGTGCGGATCGACCGCCATGAACACAGTATCCACAATCGCGTGTGCCCCTCTGCCGAGCTGAGACCACCTTCTGTTGATCTGGAGTTGCTTCGCTTGATCCAACATGATGATGTACTCGTCGATGTTGAAAAACGATACATTGACCGAGTCTAACCTTCACTACTGTCAAACCCTGCACAGTACCTCCCCAAATAACAAAATTTGTACATGCCAAATCCTCGCGTGGGTATCATTATATCCATCTACTTTCAACCTCCCCCAAATAACTCCTGCGCATATATCCGTGCCCAAATATATCCCCCTCAAAAGAACTTCACACCCTCACTGCCCTCTGCGCCAAAAATCTGCGCCTTCCCTCTCTTCACACAAACCCCCAAGCTCTTCTGCAACAACTCCATATCCATGCCCGCAAACTCCTCGCGCAAACTCGCGTCCCCCTCTACAATCTCATACAGCGTGAGCACCGTACCCTTCTGCCCCGTCCTCTCCACCCACTCCTCAAGCGCAACAGCCCATTCCTCCGGTCTCCGCCAGTAGATCCACGCCTTGCCACCCTCGCCCTCGTCTCCCTTGGACTTCTTGTTCGTCCCCGTTGGTATCCATTCTGCCCTGTTGCCGCCCTCAGGGCTGGCCATCCATGTCAGCACAGCTTTTGCATCGCGCAGGGACAGCGAGCGGCCTAGTTTGGCGTTTGTGAAGAGCGGGGTGGGGAGGGCGTCGATGAGCGAGAGGCTGAATATGCGGTGGTGGCGGCAGTAGGCTTGGATAAGTGTGGACCAGGATTGGAGTTGGGAGGAGCGGGTGGAGGCGACGGGCTGGAGGGTGAAGAAGGGGGGGAAGGAATAGTGTGGTGGAAAGGTAAAGGTGGATTGCGAGGTTGATTGTTGTTGCGCTGGGAGCGCTGATGACGATGGAGGTTGGGCGTGTGTCGTCATTTTCTAAATCACGAGAATGCCTATGGCGAGATTTTGGCACGGTCGGGACCCCGAGATATGCTTGTGGCGACGTTGGGGTGTTGGGGTTTGGAGAGGGTTGTTGCGGGGGACTTGGGACGTCATTGGCGCTAATTTTGGACCCGTCGCGTCGCGAAACGATATGAGAGCTCATGGATTCCGTGTGATGGCATGGAGCCTACGCCCGTGGTGGTGATGATCACAACACCTTTCAAGGTCATTCTGTAGCCTCCACAGCAGTTGGTCTGTCGTTGTAATGGCTTTAGCAGATCCAGGTGCACCTCTAGACTAGTTGCAAACAACATGGCCAAGATATTCACCAGGGCGATGTGATTCGCACTCCTCACGACTAACTCTTCCTCCTAATTTCCTTCGAAAGCATCCTCTGAATTTACATTCCTCGCACTCGTCGCGTAACGTACCCCCCTACTCAAAGACCACTACCCTAACGTCATTCTTAGCATGCGACAACACGCGCCTGATACAACAGACAACTGTAACAACACTACTCTCCCGCTCGAATATGGCTCTTGGGAGTACTCTCATCTTCCATAGACACAGTCAGGACCGCAGATGTAGGTATCGATAGACGTGCTCGGGACATGCTAGATAGCATCTCAGTCCATTGCGTCACGCGCAATCGCTCGACCAAGTGAAGAACACCACAAGACTCCTACCTAGAGGCTCAAATCAGATGCAAATATATAAATCATCCAGTGTTCAATGCCTGTTTGAAAGTCGCGAATTGTACTCCCAAAATACTTACATCAAACTATAGGTACAACTCAATGCAGACTGACTCTGCACCGCCAACCTAAAGTATAAACTATCTCCCTCTTCTCTGCTAAAGATGACTTTCACTTGAATCCAAGCCCTCATTGTATAATGCCATGGAGATTACACTCCATAACCTCCCTGGCCAGGCTTGTCAATGGAGAGATTGACTAAAAGCACCACTCTATTAAACCAACCCACATCAAGAAGCACGCCCATGTCCAAGAATTGGTAGCTTGACAAATGACCCAATATTGCGAATGTCTACTCGAGTTTGTTCTTGGACTATGGTAGATCGTATATCGTTGTTCATCCCAAGCTGGAGCGGTTGCGTCAAACAGCTAATGCATATTGCTAGGAGTAGGACGTGGGAAAATGGATGTGTTGCTTGTCTTTCCCAGAGCGGTATCTTGCGAGGCCGGAGAGAAGGAGATTATAAAGACTGAGTGCAAGCATAACCTGTGTGCTGAGAGTGCAGCGCAGGGGAGATGTGTCACCGTTATCCACGAGAAAGAGCGTCAGCTAGAGCTAGCAACAAGGTAGTTATAGGCGGAATCTCCAGCTTATGGAAAATTGTCCGCAGAATGTACAGAGCATTCGTTTTCGTTCGTGATATTGCTCATCGCGCCATCATGTGTATACCCAGACTTTTTAACCCAATCCCTCAAAACACCATGAAAATGCTCGCCATCCCATCCACCCCAACAAAACACAATGTACAACCCCTTCGAACCGGTTCAATCTCATAGCAAAACGACCCACCCATCCATCTGTGTTCACAACGAAATCTCCCCTCCCTGATCCACGCCGAATCCATATCGCACGACACATCTACCGCCAGCCCCTCCCAGCCCCCTTCCTCGCCGCCTGCAACCTAATCTGCTCCTCCTTCTGCCTCCGAAACCCCTCCACCTCCCCACTAAACCGCCTATACTCCGCCAACCAATACTCGGTCAACCCAGTGACATCCTCGACGAAGCCCTCGGGACCCCTCGTCCACACCCACATGCCCAGCGCCAGGACGCCGCCCCAGAATGCCAGGCGCAGCGCAAGATTGATCCAGAAGAGGACGGCGCGGTACATCATGTCGAGAACCTTCATGCTGATGAAGAGCGCGACGAGTAGGAGCAGGATCGAGGCGACGTCGGGTTGCGTGATAAGGCGCGTGAGGAAGGGGGTTAGGTGCGCTTGGAGGGTGCGGGCTAGGCCGAGGGTGGTGGTTAGGAGGGTGAGGACGGGGTTGGCGAGAGAGGGCGGGAGGAGGCGCGGGAGCAGCGATGCATAGTCTGGTTTGAGGGATGTTAGAGGTTGTGAGGCTTTTGGTGGGCAGGCAAGGGGAGGAGAGTGGTACCTTGTATGATGTCCATTGTGTATAATGTATGATGCGCTTAGTGATTGTTTTGTTTTGTGAAGATAGAGGTGTTTTGCGTGGCTCTATTGACGGAGACCGCAGTTATGCGCGCGTGAAGGTTGGTCGCGTGGTAGCGTTAGATAAGTGGACGCGAGATTCTGAAAGTCAAGTAGATTCAATACTGCAGGAACAACACTAAAAAAAACCACAAGCAGATCAAAATACGCTTGTTGACAAAGAAAACAAACCCGTTCAGGGTCGAGTTTGTTGACACCTTCCCCGTCCTCCCCTTTGCATTGCATTTGACAGCTGTCCACTCTCCACCGCCCGAGCTCTACCTACCGGTACCTAGACCCCAGAATCTTCCTTTTGCTCAAACATAAGCCTCCACCAGCATGAACCACAAAGGCCAGCCACGCTTGTGCCCCAAGCTCCCCAGCCAAACACGTGCAGACTTGGCCCATCTTTGCTGCACGTCATTCACCCCTTAGTCACCCACCGTACCCACCCATTTATACACAGTAGTGAGTGCTGTACATACACACCAAGAAACGCCACACACAGTTCCAATCTCCACATCTAGCTACCAGACGCCAAGTACATACTACTTACCTACTCTAGCTCTTCTTTTCCCTTCTTACCCACTTACCTGCGTCGACCCAGCCACGGTGTCACACAGCAACTGCACGACATGTGCGGGGTGCGGCGAACCTAGTTCTGTCGATGGGCTGGGTTTCCTGCTTTTGCGCATATCGCGCCATACCGAACCGCGCGGGCGACTCATAGGCCATGGATTTCTATTATTCACCATGTGGAGATCGGCGAGTAGAGATCGCCCTTTGAAGTATTGTATGTGCGCGCGGCAGAAGTGTGGTTTGATGTGGTGTGGGTTCAGATCGAGAGGGTCCCACTTGTGAACGGGTTGGGGAGGAGGCGAACTGGCGGTGTGGTCAAGATTGTGCGGTGGTCGGTGGGTAGTTTACTACATGTACCTATGTACTGCACGGTATCGGCATGTAGAGACGGAGGTTAAACTTCGGGTCGGAGTGGGGATTGTGGGATGTAGGGGCGGTTCTAGAGCATGAGTACACAGTAGCGATGAGCTTTGGTACGTTAGTGCTGGAGTGGTGTGAGGCGTGAAGGATTCAAGGGCTAGGCAGTGTCGTCGACATAGCGCCATCTCCACCGTAATGGAGGGCTAGTAAGTAAACGACCAACGAGCAGATCCTGACGAAGAAAGGGGTTTTTTAATGTGATAGAAGGGGTGTAGTCGTGATAGCAAAGGTGAGAAACTGCAGTGGACGAAGAGAGTGTATATTCTTCACTCGACTACATAGTATTTCGAGGTTTATCCTCTACATAGGAGAACTCATCCAAGTCCATAATAGCACTGATGCTACATAGATGCCGTTGCGATCGTAGTGTACGACTGGCCAGTATAAGAAAGAGGCCCAAGCCTGCATAGGTGACGCGTGGTCTGGTATCATATATGCGAAATTACCGCCAAAGAAACGCCAAAGGAGAGTCGGTCTTACGCCGTCGTAAAAGTATGTGCGAGAATGATATGTTGAATGGACGCTTGGGAAAGTGTCGCTGGTTCGATGCAGATATATCGAGGTACCTACAGCATCGCAGAAAGTTGACAACCATTTTACGTTGTCGCACCACAGGAGTTGGTACCAGGTGGTGCAGGCAGATGTCTAACGGGTGTACGACATCAAGTGTTACAATCCCGTTGAGATCTGGTCACCATGAAACAGGCCATCAGGATTGAAAGTCACAGCCACGTATCGGCGTGAGGTGCTACAGTCGATGGATCCGGTGGATCATCACACCCAGTGTGCATCGCGGTTCTGCTGTGTGCCGTACTCATTTGCGAATTCGAATCTGAAGGCTGAAGCTTCAGACATAGAGCCTGTTTGGCCAATCAGAGGCTGAGATTTGCGGGATGAGGTCGAGGCCCGCTGGAAGCCACTGGTGGGCGAGGTGGGCGAGTAAGGTGTCGGTGGACGGTCGGCTAGTGATGATGCAACGCTGGACTTCCTTCGTACTTTTTCTGGTCTTTGAACAGAATCGTATGGCGACTTTATCGAAAGACTACGATCTGTAGGTGATGGCGTCCTTGGTGGGAACTCATATGTGGCTAGCTCCTTCTCGAACAAGTTGGGAGAGGTGGGAGACACCCGATCCCGTAAAATTGCAGGTTGGGTAGGCCGTATGCTGTACTTTTCGGGGCGTTGTGTGTACTGGCTCGGTCGTCGCCATGATTCAAATTCGGCGTCGTCGAGTGGCGTAACTGCTCGCAACGAAAAACCCCGTACTCTTCTCTTCGATCGCTTCCAGCAGCAAAGGCCCAAGACGGTTGTTCCACTGAGTACTAATGTACCGAGGACTGCACCAAGGATGATCCACATTTTCGTTTCTTGTTCCATGGCTGTGGGGGAGACGTGATGTGTAGTATACAATCTCGTGACTTTGTCAAGTTGAATGGGGATTTTCGAGCTGAAGTCAAGGTCGACTTTCCGTAACGGTATGGCGCTTGAAGAAGGGTTGTAATGACAGACGTAGGCGTTGACAGGCAACCTTCAAGTGGAGTGGTGCACTTGGAAGCGGGAAGGAGTGGTGGGCAAGGCCTCCAGCGATGATGAGACAGATCGATCAACTATCCAACCATGACCATGTTGGACCGCAAGTACGGCCAGAAGTAATTAATCCGACGAAATGATAGCGGTCTGAGCCTACTGCCATCAAATGGTGAATCGGGAGGGGCACAACGGATAAAGTACTGCGGGACAGGTGGAGGGGTTAGGCAAACGGAAACCTGGGTCATGCGGATATAGTCTCGCTCCACAGCGCCGTAGAAGGATAATGCTATAGGACTAGCGGGACCAGACGAGGCAGTACGAAGAGTAGCGGTTTGGTAGTGGCAGTAGGGGCGCACCGAGAAGGAGGAGTCCTGCGGTGGCTTAAAGATATCGGACAAACCGGGCTTGAAGCAACATGCAGGTACACAGCGTACCTGACGACTGGGCGTGGTGGGCTGCGAAGTCTGTTACTTGACATGGAGTATACTGGCGAAATATCGGTGAGCAGGGCACTAAGAAGTAATCCATGATAGACTAATTTCGACAACCTTGGAAACGCAACACGCCGTTAATGATCGCATCAAATCCGTAACGGGTAATTCCACCGTGCCATGCTGCAGGGGCGTGTCACTCCCGCCCGCCTCTGTTCTCTACCGAGCAAGAAAGCGGGCAATGTGGCGCCGTTGAAGGCTGCAAGATGTTGGTGTTTGACAGCACATGGAATTCGGCAGCGAATCCAGGGGCTGTACTCTGCTCAGCCTTGTGAACATGATACTGATGGCTTTTTTTTTGACAACGAGCAGGCAGAAGGACAGCACGCCTGCTTTTTGGCGTGCACGATCGGACGGATGCCGTTCCATACAATGACATGCACAGCGGTCCCTTGTATGTGCAATGGATGGCAGATACATACTGTACATACGTAGGGGCCGAATGAGGAGCCAACATCCAAGAGCCATGTGCATACGGGAATGGGCTCTGCCGTCGGAAACTTCGCATCCAGAACAAGGGCTGGCTGTCCAGGTGAGGGTTGGTGCTGATAGTACTATACGTATTACGACTGGACGTCGATCTGTCAAAATGCGCCAAGCCCGTTTCGGCATGGCCTTCTTTTTCGGCCACTGGCCAATCGCATCGACTCTCTGGCGGGCTCTAGGCGCGTCGCGTCCCGCAATAGCTTGCTTCCCTTCGCGCCTTCTTTTGTCATCTTGACCGTGTTAGCCCTTTCTTTCACCGAAGCACATCACCTCCACACTTCTTCTCGTAGGTAAGCCAGCCACAATTCAACCCCAAGTGGCAAGCCGACAGTGTGCCATGACTTGTGGCCTTGTGGCCTTGTCCATCCACCACATGCACACACACCCACACCCGCATACACATACACACCATATTGCCACAGCCATGGTCATGGCCATTGCCGAGTTTGAGCGCACAACGGCGGCTGCCAGTCATCAATGGCAAAAAGCAAAACGCTCTGATCTCGATCGCACGGGTGACGGTACCTAGGTACTGCTATTTGCGTGCCCGTCTCGACTGTACATGCATTATTGCATCTGGCCCTGGCCTGCCACCAAACGGCTGGCTGCACGCATGCAAGAAACCGGAGGAGACAGCACGCAAGCACTGCAGGTTCCGTGTCTTGACCTGTTGCTTGGCCACCAGGCTGCCAGGTCATCCAATGCTTACCTATTGCCTCCGATGCTGCCGATAGGAACCCCTTCTCTGCGGTGGCCAATGGCAAGTCTAGGCCTCAAATTTGGGACAACAGCCAGCAACGATAGACGTGAAACTTGTCGACCTGGAATGCCCCGTCCAGTCCATGACGAGTTCCACGCTCTGCTCCGCTCATGGACATGGGTCATTCACCACTAGTCGAACTCTAGAGTAGTGCAGGCTCTCTCTTACCAATGCCGCCTGCACGCCCACACAAGCTGTACTAGCTGCATCTCCAAAAGAGAGAAGCGCACTTTGCGCCGCCAAAGTTGCGATGACTGACCCAGATAGTCTCCTGGATCACTGCTTCAATCGCGACACTAAGAATTGCAGGTACATTTGCAATCTCCCATCGAACATGTAGAATGCTAGTGGACATCGGCAGAGACTCGCCAGACCGACTTCTGCGTCTGCTTCAAATGGAAAGAAAAATTCGTCGTTCATAGTTATCATGTCGGACATATTGAAAGCTCTGAACAAGGTAGATTCGGACCTTTCGTTAAGATCTCCAGGGAGTGCCGCAACCGAGATGAAGAGTTCGGTGAACCCCCACCGAAGAAGCAATGATCAATAGTTGCAGTGCTGATCACCGTTGAATTCTCGTCTCGACCGTGTACGCCAAGCTTATTCTCATACTGCAAATTCAGATGCGTAGAAGTACACAGTAAAACAAGAGGCCATATCAGCATATCTACTGCGCATCCTCGTTGCACTGAGGGATCCCTCGACCCAAGCGTTCGACCTGAGCACGCGCCTTTGCCGCTGATCTCGACTCCGGCCGTCCTAGGAACATAGCGCGTTATCGGTTTGCCGGCTAAAGTGCGCCTGCGCGTGGACTTATGTCCTTGTTCGCCAACGCCACAGAATGTGGAACCCCCAGGGCGACGGATTTAGCGGGGGAGGCAACGCGCCTGAAATTTTACAATTGCCTTTCGAAGGCCTGGTTATGCTTACTGAATGGTTGCGCTGCCCACATGGGAAATCTCTCTTCTTGATAATCCAGGAAGAGACGGATAGATTTGGGTTTGTGCTATCAATTGCCAAACGAAAACAGAAGGTGGCCATTTCAAGGTTCACTCGATGCATCGTCAATCTTGCCTGTAGCCAATGAGGACCTGGAAGTGCCATGCTCACACCTAAAAGAACTGCAACCTGAATACAACACAACAACCATGAACTCCTGAGCATCGCAGGACGCAACCAACAAACTGCCGTGCTCTTTTTGGCATCCAGCTCCGACGCACTCGTCAGTATGCAACTTTCGGCCTTTCACGACACCGTCAAAGACTACTTCGCAAATCACCGAAAGGGGAACAGTCCAACCTTGGAACCTTTTCTTCTTCTCACAGTGCACTCATACTCTGTGTAATCTTAGCCCACGTTCACATATAATGTCAGCCTCAAGATGCTCATGGCACAGAGGTCATGAAGATGCAGCGTGCGCTGCTAGTTACCGATCCCGACGCGTATCGACAGACCTATTAATTACGACCATAGACTTGATTTACGGCGCTTATTGCAACGTGCTCAACTTGCAGTCCGGCAGCACGGTCATGGGCGGATGAGTTCGGATGTATGTGGTCAGCTGGACGTGTTCGCAGCTCATGAACGGTGGGGTTATCCAGCCCCAAGCATTTCGTCGATATCCCTCGTGGCCCTTTCTTCATCTCATTACAAATCGATGTACTATAGTACAATATGTTTCCTTGAAATCACTGTGGTCGGAAATGCAGTGAGTCAGGCGGCTATGCATACCGCAATAACGGCAAGCGCCCGTGATTACATTGACCATTTCTATAGATGAAGCTCACTCTCGGTTACATGATGGATGGGTGAGACGATGTATCAGATGTATGTTCAGCGGATGAGCTGTGCAAGTGCAGCTACGACTTACTGGCAGGTTACACCATGGACTTATTGCAGATCTACCGTTACACCGAAATAGATATCGTACTATTTGCCCATGAGCCAGCTGTCGATGCGGGGGTGATTGACAGAGCATCCATATGCTTGTACCTGACGTCAATGCGGACCTTCGCCTTATCGTTTTCACCAAGCAAGCCTCAATCCAATGCTTCTAGCATCAAGAGTATAGTACATATACGACAGGTTGGCTGATCCCGTGGATCAATCCCTCGCTTACACACCTCGTCGATCTCCCAAGCATTTGTCACGCGTACAAATACAATAGAGTCCACGCGAGTACACACTAGCCCCATGCACCACCGAGATGGAACCGAACCACGTTGATACGCGATGCGCAGATATGAAACTTGGTCCATCTGTTTGGAGCCGCGATGCACGATTTGGTCCACGCTGATTTGCATGTAAGAACCGCATGTTTTGAGGAAATGATGTGCGTTCAACATCTAAGTGTGGGTGGTACATGTATCCATGTGCTGCAAGCATGATGAATATGCGATTCCAAGGCATCCTGCGACTCAGACCCCACGACAACGAGGGAACGAAATCCAACCGATAATAAGTATCGAAGCCAATTCTCCGCATTATTGCATGCGGGATGGGGTCGATCAGGCAAAGAGTTCCGACCACGCTGCCACCTCACCGATGAATCGTTAAGGTATTCCCTCTACAAACCCATTCCAGCGGTGTTTATCGAAACTCTCTTTGCTATGGGAGTCCTTGCCATTGAAGCCATGATCTCCAGCATGAAGGAGCATATACCTTGAATGTAAAGAATTTCGTGGTCAGCTGGACTATGCATATCAACCACGTTGCCGTTACGCTCACTCCTTCTCCACACAGAAGTCGATGGAAGAGAAAATCAGCGACCTTGCCCAAACATCACATTCTCCTCCGGGCCTAACAAGTCCTCAGCCACCACACATGTCACAGCCTGCATATGGCATGTAGATCTGCGAGTCGAATAAGGCCTCCCCTCTTGTTGTCGCTACCTCACGCCACACTCGCGACTTCTCGTATCGTCTCGCGTACGCAGTCCCTCCTATACATAAAATCCATGCAAATATTGTAGATTCAGTAGTCACAATCTGCATGTAGCCCCCTAGATACGAACTCGGCCCTTCTTTCCCGCGACTGTATACCTTGCCTGTATTGTATTGCCACTATCTACATACATGCTTCTACACATAGTAGCCTATAGCTACTCTAGTACCTCAACGCACATCATGACCGCAAAGTGGCATAGGTACGCTGTGGTGCTCGTATCCGTGGCTGTCCGGTCCCGCGTTACCGCCCTTCCCTTGATGTGTATTTATGTCTCGTGTTTAATCTGGCCTAGCTTGGCCTAAGTATATGCCAGTACGTTTGCCTGGGTAGTACGCGGTTGCATAGCGAGAAGCTCAGGGGCTGTTGGAAAGCCTGGCGCGGTGAATATGCATTGCGCAATTGTGACGGAATGGTGGGGTTCAAGCGAAGGGACGTTCAGAGGGACGGGTGTTTGTGTGGGGAGAGCAAGGGGGGTACATATACATAGGGACGCTGTGGGTGTCAAGTTTTGGTAGGGGGACGTGGCGGGGAGGTGCATGGTGAATGCGTGGTCAATTGGCTTTAGAGTTTATAGAGCAAACGCCCCCTGTGTGTTGATGCGTTGGAATTATGGTTCTGTGGGATAATGTAGACCGGAGACTTGGAATGTGGCATGTTAGAATAGGTAGGAACATGCTCGATTCTTTGAAATATGGCGGTGGAGCTGATGGTATATTGAAATTACTAATTGTGTTCCATACACAAGTCAGATGGAGAGAGGTATTCGCTCCTTGTTTGTGTCGTAGGCCAAACATCATCAGGTTCTATTCTAAACAAGACTCAGGCGAACCTTTCTCTTTCCCGTGCTCTCCTCCAGCTCGTCCGTAATGCGCACTGTGACCTTTTCAAAGAGCTCAATATTCCTCTTCACATCACCCTTGACGTTCAACACATAGTTATCAGCGTCAAAGTCGGCCTCAGGCTCCGGCGTGGCAAGGTCCCTCAGTCTGATCAGACTTTCGATACCAAAGCGTGGCACAAAGACGACAAATCCGTTGGAGAAGATCTTCATGATGAAACCTTCTTCCTGAACATCCTTGCCCTTTAGAGCCTGCCCGACGTAGTACTCTATCGAAGCACGACCAGCCATCTGCGCGTTGCGATGGCGCACATTGATGTTCTTGCACACGGCCTCGAGTTTGGATTTGGATTGCAAGCTAGGATCCAGTTGCTCATACTCAATGGCGGCAGCAAGCTGGCGATGAGCTTCGAGATCGGCATATCGACGAATAGGCGAGGTGAAGTGCGTGTAGATCTCACTTGCGAGTCCATAATGTCTGAATTCAGGATATGCCTGAGTTCCTGCACAAAAGTACTCTGCAGACATCATGCAGCGCGTTGCCATGATCCTAACAAGTGTGTTGAAGAAGGGGTTGTTGGGGTCAACACATTTATCGAGCGAGTCTGCGAGGGCCTTGGAGCTATCGGTCTTGAGCTCCATGCCCTTCTTGACCTTGAGCTGGTTATCAAGCTCTTCAAAATTAGTCTTGGGGGGAGCTGCATGACGACGCAACAATGCGGTTTGAGGGAACGCCTCGTAGTTCTTCGCTGCGACACTGATGTTGGCGAGTAACATGAATTCTTCGACCAGGGAATTGGTATCAAGCAACTTTTTCGTCTGCACATCAACGGGATCTGATGTCTCAGATTCAGTTTGCACTTTGACTTCGGGCGAGGAGAGATTCAAGGCACCAGCTTCCATGCGCTTTTGCTTCAGCTTCTTGGACAGCATAAGCAGAGTTCGCATGCCATTGGTGAGATCATCTTCTTGTGACTTGTCGTCAATCCGTATCTGTGCTTGTTCGTAGCTAAAGGCTTCTCTTGACCGAATGACCGACTTCGTGAATTGCGAGGACACAATTTCCGCGTCTTCTGTAACTTCCCAAATCACTGAGAAGGCGTAACGCTCGACATAAGGCTTCAAGGAGCACAAATCGGTTCCGAGAAGCATAGGCAACATATCAATGCGCTTGTCAACAAGGTAAACAGTTGTTCCACGCTGACTGGCTTCCTTGTCCATAGCGTTGTTCGGTTTGACGAAATGAGAGACATCCGCAATGTGGACACCGACCTGGTAATTACCGTTTGGTAGCTTGTGCGCATGCAGGGCGTCGTCAATATCAACACAGCCGACTGGATCGATACTGCAGACCAACAGATCTCGCAGATCCTTGCGTCCTTTCCAACCCGGGTCTTCTAGACTAGTAGGTACCTTCCAGTCGTGTCCCTCGGCAGGTAAACAGTCCAAAACTGTCTTTGGGAACGGCTTGTACTGCACATCCCATTCCAGTAGCAAAGCTTCTGTCTCTGCGCCCTTGGATTCGAGCTCTCCCAGTGATCGCACAAAATGGCCTACTGGATACCGGGAATCTATATCCCACGAATCGATCGTCGCCAGAATTCGTTGACCAAGAAGTTCTCCAGCTTGACGTGTCCGTATTCGAATCTTGGGGATGCGCTTATCCATCGGTACTAGGAAGACTGTTTGTTGCTGTCTGCTAGACTTAGAGACAGAGCGTACAGAGTCCCGATCTATGTGGCCAACATATTGACGCCAATTTCGTTTGATGATGCCAACGACTCGTGCAGTTGGTTGAGGTCGACCTTCAATGCTTTGGCCGTGAGTTCGCTTTACTTCTTCCTGCAAAGCCCTCCGTTCTCGCTCCGAGATGACGTTTTCCCCCTCCTCAGCTTCAGCGTTGTCATTTTTATTCATTGTCTCTTCTTCAATGATCTTGGTCGACGGGGCTTTCCATTGATCTTTCGGAAGCACTTCTACAACCACCACATCGCCTGACACAGCTCGGTTGCTATTCTCCCTGCCTAGTACAAGAAGAGACTTGTCAAAAGCGGGAACGTGTACAGATCCCTCCAAGTAGTTGTACGGTGATACGTTGAAGATACCTTGATGCAAAGTGCCTGCTTTCACACCAGTCATCATCTTCGAAACAGAATAATGATCTGCATAAAACACCTCTGCCTTTTTCGAGCGTACTTCTCTCTGTTCTTGCGCCGCACTGATCATATCAAGTAACTCATCAGCATTCTCGAGGCCTGATACAAAATCCGATACTGTTCTATGTTAGTATTCAGTTCGGCTTGGTTTCTGAAAACTCACGGGTCTTTCCGGGGACATGCTCAGATTTCGCCTTGTGCAGATTTTCCTTGTCATCGGTAATCATAACAACTGTGGGAATACGTTGTTGCTTTTTGCTCCGCCCAGCTACTGCTTCAGTGATATGCTGATTGTACCACTGCACAGCTTTGCGCACAGCTCGATCATTTCTGTCGTTGATAGTCTCACCGGCATCTCGTGGCACATATGTTTCCTGACGAAATTCATTGAAGAAGACGTAGAACCTTTTTCCTTCGTTTTTGGTCAAAGAGATCAGGCGATGGTAGAGTGGTAATGAACGGTTCTTCACTTCCTCTAAGACAGTTTGCAGCACAATGACATCGTGAAAGGCAGTCCCAACTTCGAACAAGTCCATTCCGGTGAGAATCGCATTCGTGTCTGGAACGAGATACTGTCCATTGGGGAAGTCCTTGGATCCTGCTGGAGTATCTGACAGGACAAAAGGCGCAACTGAGCAAATCAGCGGAGCCCCCATAAGTGAGATGAAATTACCTTACCCTTCTTTGAATAATCTGTTGGTGCAATTTCTAAGCACGCTCTGCAAAGATTTGACGAGCACGGAATGTCTTGTCGCAAATATAACTCTCTGACAATTTTTTGGACCTTGCCACTTTTCGTTGAGCGGACGTAGACCTTGCTGGAAATATTCGATTGACTGCGATCGGCTGCGGTCGACCTTTTGAGACTGAAATACTCCATCTTGGCCGAGATGATGGCGTTATCATGTAAGAAACAGTGGACAGGATCGTGGCTGGCCAAAAAGGTGGTTGACGCCAAGACATTAAACTGCAGGGATTAGGGTGTGTTGGTCCAAGCTCCACTGCCAGATGACGGAGGTCGCAGCTTTTGGTGGGCCGTGAATGCATCAGGAGCCAACTTCACAGCTTCATTCCACTTGTCTCCTTATAACGACAACATCAAGCCAGCGCACCGAAGACCAGAAGCTGTGATGTCTTCGCTAGATCCGCCCACATATCTCACCTCGATACAAAACAACATCCGCGCCCGGCCAATATCATGGGAAGGCGCAGTGCGGGCCAAGACTATCACAGACGCAGACCTCAAGAAGATCAAGTCAATTGATAAGGTGCGCAAAGAGCAGCGGAAGCAGACAATCGAAGCCGATTTGGGCAGCTTCGTCACCCTGCTACTTGGTGGAAATGGCTCGCAGAGCATATTCGAGGCAGCAGCCAAGCGCCAGGATATCATCCACTACATGCTGGTCTTGTTGGGCGACATGATTGAGGGTAGTGCTCCTTCGCGAAATCTTGGGCAACAAACAATCACTAACTTCGACAAGATATCCCAGCCCTGACCAAGGCTCTTGTTCAACACCAGACACCCTACAGGCCCTTTCTACCGCTGTTGAAAGCTTCGTCCAACAACGAGGACCCTGTACCGCTCCTCACATCTTCTGTACTATCTGGCCTACTCTCCTACGCCGTTTTGGAGCCATCCAAGGATTCGGCCCAGCTTGATGAAGCTCTCCCACAGTTGTTCAGCTACCTTTCCACACTAGCGAAGGCATCCGATGCTGGTCTTCAGGATATTGCAGTGCGAGAGTACTCGGCTGTGCTACGTAGCACCAAGGCTAGACATCTCTTCTGGAAGCAAAGGAAGGAGACACTGAATCCCCTCTTCGATATCCTGAAGGCTGCGGCAGGATCAGCAAAGGACACAGATTCCAACCTATACAGTGGGAACGGCAGCATCCGCAGTACCCCAGATGGCGGTCTGTCTGGCGGTGTTGGTCTGCAGCTTCTGTACCATGTCCTTCTCGTAATCTGGCAGCTGAGTTTCGAGGGCGAGCTCATTGGCGAGGGCCTCCAGGAGTACGCCAGTTTTCCTATCATTGCATTGGAACGACCAAAAGCTGACTGTTTTCAGTGAACACGACGTTGTAATCTTGTATACTCAACTCTTGAAAGTATCACCAAAGGAGAAAACCACAAGACTTCTGCTTTCGACCCTGTTGAATCTGTTGACAGCAAACCGCTCGACCCTTTTGCCCACTGCCGTACTTGCCCGTCTACCGTCTCTACTCTCCAGCCTGAAGTCGCGCCATTTAACTGATGAAGATGCCCTTGAGGACCTACAGTCGCTCAATGACCTGCTGGAGGAATACACCAAGACACAGACTACCTTCGACGAGTACGCTGCCGAAATTCACTCTGGACACCTCCGCTGGTCACCACCTCACCGCAATCCTGACTTTTGGCGGGAAAATGCGCGTCGTATTCTAGAGGAAAATAAGGGTGAATTACCTCGGAAGCTTGCCGAGATTCTGTCTAAGAGCTGGGAAAGCGACAAACAGGTGCTTGCTATTGGGTGCAATGATGTCGCATGTTTAGTCAAGGAAGTACCGGAGAAGAGACAGCAGCTTGAGAAGCTGGGACTGAAGGCCAGGGTAATGGCGCTCATGCAGGAGGCAGACGAGAGTGTACGATGGGAGAGTTTGCGGGCTGTTGGCGAGTGGCTGAGATACAGCTTCGAATCGAAGACATCGTTGCCGGTTAGATAGGGGCTTGTTGACTTAGCGATGGAGTAAGTCAAATTGGTGCACGTTTTACGCCAAGGCGTGGCAGCTTTCCGACAACGCTTAGAATATTGACCTTGAGCAAAGAACCTAATCATGCATATTTGCACGTAGTGAGTCACAATCTGATCATATGTGCCACTGGTCAAGTCTATCAGAAGGCTTGTATATTAGTACCAATCATTTCAGCGTATAAACACGTGCCTTTCAAGATGTTTCTCTGACTGCCTCCTGTATAGCACGACAGATCATTGATCGGGAAGGACTATGAGGTGCATGATAAGACGTTGTGATTGTACAGACTTCATCCATCCATATCCCAGTATCGAGACCAGTCATACGCCAGGAGTAGTACAGGGCTGGCTGTTGTGGCTGTTCAAGCCGCTCTACCTCGCCACGCATCCAACTTCATCGCTACTACATTAAAAGTCTCGACCTATACTACGGAAGACACAAGTTATTCTGCTGAAAGATTATAGTGCCCTCAAAAGGAGAAGGTAATTGCATTGGACGAAATTAATCTCATGAGCCCTCTGGCTGGAAATATCAGTCACATATCTCCTAGTACGTGCAAACAGCCACCGCCAATATTTGCCTCATCGCATATAAAGGCCTTGCCTATAACTGCTCATTACTTCCATATCACATATTTACTATAGATGCGGCTATTTTGGGCCTGCAACTCGTTACCCCGTCCTAGAAAGCACCTGCCTCTTCAACACGCGTCCGTGCTTTGTTGTCCTTCAAAACTTCACTGCCTCACGAGTAACAAACTACCACTCTGAAATAAGTAGATGTAAAATACACGCAATTTTCTTCTACTCCATGAACTCCTCCTAATTGTCTCATGGTCAAATCATGTATGGGACGTTCCTGTCTGCGAGGTAGCCGCAGCTGCTTCTCCCAGGGCGATGACATACTTGCCCCTTTTACTGCCTGAACTCAGGATGACCCATCACCTTGTAGTAGGTCTCAAATATCCCTTGTCCCATGGAGTGGGCGAGAGTTTGCAGATATTCTTGAATGAACTGATTGGCGCCGCCTTGTCCTCGTTTGTGGGACTCAAAGACATACCATAAATGCTCGGATACTGATATTTTCACCTTCTCAGGCGATCTAGACACCTTTGTCTGAGACACATCGGCTAAAGCCCATCTGCAGTTCGCATCGAGACCTCAAAATGCTATCACCACCGACACTTAGTCCTCAACCCCTAACGACGGCGAATCCGAACGAGACCTAGGTTCGAATCGATCCCTCTGGACGGTAACTTGAACACAAAAGCTGTTACTCAGGACTGGAGATACGCGAGAACATCCATACCTGATCCGTCATTATAACCCACTAGTGAGTTCAACGCCTAGAATCCTCTTCCTAGTACAGCATCACGGTCATCTGATATTCCCAGCAAGCAAATTACACCGCCCTTGTGTTAAAATATATCGGTTCAATGGTACGCGCTGCCACCTGACCATGCCTTCTCCAGTAAATCCTAGGTAGAGGCACTGATTGGCCATTACTATCATCTCCCTAGTGCAGCTTCGCCACCCTTACAAGCCCGAGGCGCAGTTGATACAAATGCTAAACTGCTCATGCTGATCTCACAATCGCTAACCACGGTAGGCGTCCGGGTAGCGTACATGGCGTCAGAATCAGCTCTACTTCGGCAGAAGCGGTCTCCCAGCGATGACCATCTTCAGCAGGCATACAACGCCACTGATGGTAACGACGCTGTTCTAACATCCACGGACTCGTCGTCTTGACAATGGGCTTGCTTCATTCTCCACAGGCCCCCACTTCGGACTGAAACCTACTGTGCACCATGATCTAGGTCAAACTGCATATTGAGCTTTCGTCTTGGTCTTGTTCTTGCAGTCTTGAATGGTTTTCATCAAGGTCAGTGAACTCGGTCCAATTCGCGGGAAATCAGGGAGCGGCCTTGAATCGAGATGTTTTCACCGCTCAAGCGGTACGACCGCCGTATGCGCCAGCGAAAACTAGATATCCAAACAGATTGCACAGTTTGTTCCGTGCTGACAGCAAAAAACAGTAGCTGCTGGTGACTGGACTGCCCCGCTTGAGAAAAACACCATCTCCAGTCCACTTTCTCGGAAACTTGAAACAAAGTCCCTCCAGCAAATGACCAACGTGTGCTGTGCGGCTATAGCCGCTGTACGCATCGATCTTTGTCCGACATCTAGACGAGCTACTCCGGATGCTTGACCTTTCCCGCACTTGCAGTCCAGAGAATGGGTAACGACTGTCATATGATCATGCAGTAGCTGTCCTAGTTCAACCGTAGTGCACCGCCAAGCCATGACCGGGAATCCAGTTCATGGACTGTAATCGAAATGTCGAGATGATAGTCTGGACTGAGGCGGTTAGCCACTGGTACTGTTAGTGGTAAATGAAGTATGTTTTGTCGTCGTGCCGGATAAGATTGCAATGGCATCCTTCACCGACTCTTGCGGGAGGACCATGGCTTTGATAGCCCCGCTTCTATAGTCATTTAGGCGTTTATCGTCTATAATGACGTGGCTCACACGTTAGGAAGCAGAGCCTGGTCCACGAACTGTCAAGTTCCAAGGACGAAAAGAGCCTCTGCGACAATCGATCACGCCATGTTTCAGCGGACAATAACAGTGACTTGGACGACAACGTTTTGAATATCGGCTAAGCATGTGAGGAGTCATCAAAGGCTTTCTTTTCAGTTTCGGCCCGAGTTTCATTTTGCAAAGGCTATCTTGATTTGAAAGAGGTAAGGCTGTGGTCATGAGCTGCTAGTGGCGGCGACAGACCTTGCAGAGGGAGCAGATGACAAAGTATACCCTGGAGGCTACTGAGACATGGACTATTGTGGCACAGCCCTTTCCTGGACGCGTCAAACGAGACGCGCCAGCCATGAATCGGGTTTGTCGGAAAAGCAGATGTTGGTAGATGTCATTGACGGCATGGTGGGTTCCCGAGAGGAGTTGGAAATAGTGCAGGCAAACGTTTGTGCGCAGTCGGGACTCAGATTGGTCCACGACCTCTGGTTCGTATGGAGGAGCCCTGTCGTCTGTCCTACTCACAGGCCGCGTCAAAAGCGGTTGACATGACGGAGAAATGGAGGACAGCGTTTGGAGCATGATTTGGCTAATACAGTGGTGCGAGCTGCGGAAGGATGGTAACAGTGGTCTTGACAGTGGGGATCAATTGCACGGGCAGGTCCAGGGTACAATATCGATGGATGCCCTTGCAAGCGGGGAGCGGGAGCCTTGTGGAACGGATCGTCCATTTGAGAGACATGCTTTGTCCACACGGAACCAAGATATTCCTGGAGCGGGTTTCGAGCATGCTCACTGGATCGAAGGCTAGAAGGGCAGCAAAGGACCCCGGAAACTGAGATTTGCTTTGAGCAACTTGCCCCTCCCGTCTGTGCTGAGGCGCCATGGGCTGGCCAAGGCCGAGCGCGCTACGAAGAACTAGGGCAGCGATGGGTGGGTTATGTAGGAGCATGTACATGGACTACTCTGGTATCTACTGTATTGTCACCATGGACGGCTCGCCGATGACGGCAGCTCTGCAGGCAAAGGACGATTACGGGCTAGGGGGCAAAGCCAGCAGGCAGCAAGATTTGGATGGCGGATGGCGGATGGCGGATGGCTCACCATGGTCGGCCATCTCCATTCGGCTGTTGCGGCAAGCATGATGGGCCAGATGAAGATGGGGCAAACCCTGGGGAGTCAGACGATGCGGACTATGCGATGGAAGGAGAAAGAGCCAATGCATGACGAGGGCGGCCGCCAATGCATGTCTCTGGCTTGGGCTTCATGCAGCGTCGCGGAGCTAGGATGCAATGATTCGATACCGACCTGCTGACACGCTCGCCTCGCTCAATCAGCAGGCGGCGGTACTTGTGAGTGGTGGGATGGGAATGAAGGGCTCGCAAAAGCCCTGCTTGCATGGCAAATGGGGGTCCCCGTTGTGGGTAGCCGTGGCCGCGATAGGCAGCTCTCCATGCCCGTCGCGACGGGTGCTTGCACGAGAGCTGAGGGGAGGGGGAGGACGGCGGGCTGAGAGAGAGAGAGAGTGAGAAAGAAAATGAGAAAGAGGAAGAGAGAGAGAGAGAGAGAGTGAGAAAGAAAATGAGAAAGAGGAAGAGAGAGAGAGAGAGAGAGTGAGAAAGAAAATGAGAAAGAGGAAGAGAGAGAGAGAGAGAGAGTGAGAAAGAAAATGAGAAAGAGGAAGAGAGAGAGAGAGAGAGAGAGAGAGAGACAAGGCTCGGGGGTATCCAAGCGGCGGTGGAAACAAGAAGTACATAGGTAGAGTAGGTAGAGTACTATAGTATGTATACATGTACAGTACAAGTAGAGTAAATTGTAGGGTATGTACAGGAGAGAGTACTGTAGTGGGTAGATGAGGCGCTAGCGATCGCTATCTCATGTGGCTTTTTGGGTGGAAGGGGGCCGGATTACCTGCAGAAGACACAGGCCTTGAGGCTTGAGGCCCGCTCAGCAGCAGCGCAGGGAGGCCAGGCCAGGGAGTGCTGGGACGGACGACGGGCTCGTGCATGTGTGTGTCTGTGTGTGTCTGTGTGTCTGTGTGTGTGTGTGTGTGTGTGTGTGTCTCGTCGGGACTAGGCTGCACAAGTGTGTTACTGTATCACACTGCAGAAGTGCAGCGCCTCCAAGGCTTGAACCCCTTCGAGCCGGCCTGAGAGTCGTCATCATGCTATTTGCTCGCTAGACGACGTCCCTTTTTTTTTCTTCTCTTTCTTTCTGCTCGGCCCGTCAAACTGCATGCGCGCAGCGAGAGGAAGGTCTTGTTGGGTGCGTGCACCCCAGGCCTTTCCCTTTCCCACC